CACAAGTCTAAAGCATCACAAAAGCAAGAAAAAGAGATTAAAACCCCCATATTCTAACAAACTTTGCAAATTTTCGTCACTATTATAGCACATGAACCCTAAACCATCAAAACTCAAAATTTCTCACCTAATCATGCTAAATATGCACCAATAATCAATACCCAAGGTTCACAAGGCTTAAAACTAGCATAAATCAAGCCAATCGATCTAAAAATCGACCTAGAAAAGAATTTTTAATAATTATGCAACCCTTGGAAAAGAGATGAAAAGAGGAGAGATGAAGAGTGTACCTTGATTTTTAGAGAAAGAGCTTACTAAAATCGATTTCCTTGACCAAAATTAAGCAAAATAGCACTTTAAATCAACAAAAACAAGTGAGAATTGAGAGAGTTGTGAGAGTTTGAAAGAGAGAATAATGGAGAAGAAGAAAGAAATCGATCGGTGGAGAAGAAGTAAGAAGAAGAGTTTTGTGATTTTGAATCAAATCTGACCGGTTAAGGTAATTTCAATCGATTTCTGGGCTTAAACCGGGGTGATTTCGGTTCAATTTAAAGAAATTTTGGTTGAGAAGCACTTACCTTTGCCCAGAAAATCCAACCGATCGGTTTATTTGTCGATTGAGTTGCAACCGATCGGTTGTAAGGTCGATTGCGTCGAGTCAGATACTCTCGGACAAGCGTCAACCGACCGTCCAACCGACCGTCTGATCGGTTGACTTTACGATCGACCGGTTGGTCGTTAGGGGACAGTGGCGACGGATCGTTAACAACCGACCTATCAACCGACCGATCGGTCGATTGACATTTCTTCTTCTCGGTTTCGGTCTTAAACACTTCTTTAGATCAATTCCTGAAACTCCATCAAACCAAAAGCACACGAAAACATAAAATCTAGACAAAATAAAGAAAAATATGTACAAGGATACCATGGGATTGCCTCCCAAGTGCGCTTGTTTCACGTTTCTAAACTTGACGTTTCCACGCTATTAAAGCGATTTGAGGTTCCGAGAGAGAAACCGTGGTTCCTTCCTCGATGGAGTCAATTGAAAAATATGGCTTTAACCTCTGACCATTCACAACAAAATCATTTCCATCCTTGTTCCATAACACGAAAGCACCATACGGTCGAACCTCCTTAATCTTGAATGGACCCGACCAACGCGACTTAAGCTTTCCCGGGAATAACCTCAACCGGAAGTTTCGTGGCATGATCTTCTTGTCATGAAAGGCCTTGGTCCTCTCCTTTTAGATCTTGGCGTTCTCATAACCTTCAAGACGGATCTCATCAAGGTCATGTAGTTGGATCAAACGCTTCTCCGCCGCGGTCTTGATGTCAAAGTTCAACAACTTAACCGCCCACATAGCTTTATACTCAAGTTCAACCGAGAGATGACAAGACTCTCCAGAGAGGAGATTGAACGGAGTAGTACCAATTGGCGTCTTGTATGCAGTTCGGTAAGCCCAAAGAGCATCATCCAACTTCGTAGCCCAATCTTTTCTTGTAGCTCCTACCGTTTTCTCGAGAATTGTCTTGATCTCTTGGTTTGAAATCTCAACTTGACCACTTGTTTGCGGATGGTAAGGCGTGGCTACCTTATGCTTGACTCCGTGCTTCTTAAGGAGACTTTCAAATACCTTGTTGATGAAGTGCTTCCCTCCATCACTAATAACCACTCTAGGAACTCCAAATCTTGGGAAGATTATTGTCTTGAACAACTTTAATACAACATTGGCGTCATTCGTTGGACTAGCTACCGCCTCTACCCACTTCGACACATAATCAACCGCTACAAGAATGTAACTATTGCCATAAGAGGAGGGAAATGGTCCCATGAAGTCGATTTCCCACACATCAAAGATCTCAACCTCAAAAATCAGATTATGTGGCATCTCATTCTTCCTACTTATGTTTCCCTTTCTTTGACAAGAATCACACTTCACTATGAACTCATGAGCATCTTTGAACATAGTAGGCCACCACAATCCCGCTTGTAACACTTTGGAAACCGTCTTGAATGTTGCGAAATGACCTCCAATAGTTGAACCATGGCAATGTTGTAAAATCCCTTCTACTTCCTCTTGAGACACACATCTTCTATAGATCTTATCCTTACAAAGTGTGTAAAGATAGGGCGCATCCCAATAAAACCGGTTAACATCCTTGTAGAACTTCTTCTTTTCATAAGCATCCAAGTTAGGCGGCTCCACTCCACATGCTAGGTAATTTACCACATCCGCATACCAAGGCCCATTCTCATTCAAATTCTTTGCCTCTTCTAGCTTCATCAAATTCTTGTGGCTTTCATCAAGAAGTTGCACCGCTAAAAGTTGCTCCTCGGGGAGAGAGTCATTGATAGGAATGTCACTCTCAATCCTCAACCGAGAGAGATGATCCGCTACACCATTTTCAGTTCCTTTCTTATCCTTGATCTCAAGATCAAACTCTTGCAAAAGCAAAATCCATCTCAAAAGTCTCGGCTTAGCATCCTTTTTCGCCAACAAGTGCCTTAATGCCGCATGATGCGTGTGCACTATCACCTTAGACCCAACCAAGTAAGACCTAAACTTTTCGAAAGCAAAGACTATTGCAAGTAGTTCCTTCTCCGTCGTGGCATATTTCACTTGTGCATCATCGAGGATTCTACTTGCATAGTAAATCACGTGGAGCTTTTTATCCTTCTTTTGACCCAAAACCGCTCCAACTGCATAGTCACTTGCATCACACATGATCTCAAACGGTAGGTTCATACACCTTCACAACAAGAGAGAACAAAACAAGTAGATGTGTTATGTAACAATTCAAAAGAAATGCTTAGTCTCAAATGAACTAGAAATCTTAATGGCTAATGCAAATGCAAATCGGCAGCGGCGCCAAATCGATGTAGGATTTTACCCGGTTTAAATAATTATCGATCCAAATTTGCAATGATTAACTCACTATGAATGCACTAGCTAACTCAATCTAAGCTATAAAGATTTACTTGATTTCCAACTATTACTAATAAGGCAATTCAAATCAAGACAAAATCAAACAAAAGGAAACAAGATGCAAAAGACTAACACAATTCGAAATGAAACTAGGCGGGAAACAACGAAATTCAAACAATAACGAAAGGCGAATCTTCGAGCTAAGGTTATCGATCTAGGAGGAGAAGTTAAAGGTTATGGAGCTAGCAAATCACTTAAACAAGCATTATCCTTTGGCATAGAACTCTTAATTAGACTAACCCATTTTCATGATGCTAATCCCTTCACTAATCAATCAATAATCAACAGTTATCAAATGGCAATCAATCAATTAATGAGCATTCAAACAAGTCTACATAGCCTCTAAACACCCTAATCAACAATTTTCAAAGGCTATGAATGTAAAGATCTTAAAGGTTTTTTGTTGGGGAAATTCATCAAACACCTTCGGGCATGAATTCCCTAAGATCTAGAAACAACTTGATCAATGTTTTTCTAGCATGTTAAACAACCATTAAGCAAGAATAAACATAAATCTAACCCTAAGCTCCATAACCCTACACTAAATCAACCTAGATCTAGCATAGCTCAAAGACTCTAAAAGACTACTCACTAGTCATTATGATTACATAATAGAAATTGATTATTCTTTGTGGAATCATTAAGAAGGAGAGTAGATTAAGGAAAGAAAAAAGTACTTAATTTAAAACTTTAATATTCAAATACAAAATATAAAAGAGAACCTTAATCTTCCTTAAAACCCTAAACAAAGCCTAGGTATTCCCAATTGGGATTAGAGTATTTATATATAAACATGACATTAAACCGAAACAAAGCGGAGATAACCGGGACAAACCGGACTTTTGCAATTTTATAACCTTCCACCGACACACCAATCGACCGGTCGGTCGGTTGACCCGCTAATCCCAACCGATCGGTTGATTAGTCGATTGCTCTCAGACAGAAGCTCTCGGGTATGTGGCAACCGACCTTCTAACCGACTGGTCGGTCGGTTGTCATGTGATGGAAACTCAACCGATCGGTTTATTGATCGGTTGAGCTCGGACAGAAGCTCTCGGGTTTGTGGAAACCGAACTCCTAACCGACCTGTTGGTCGGTTGCCATGCGATGGAAACTCAACCGATCGGTTGACTGGTCGGTTGAACTCAGACAGAAGCTCTCGGGATCGACTCAACCGACCTCCCCACCGACCGGTCGGTCGGTTGTCTTTCTCTTCCGTCCCTTCTCTTGTTCTTCAACCTTGGTTGATCCAATTTTGACTCCAAAAATTGATATTTTACTCCATTTGTGCTCCATGAACTCCTTAAAACTCCAAGTACCTGATAAGACTCAACAAATGCAAAATGCAACCTAAACACACTAAATAAGATGAGAAATGCATAAAACTATCCTAAAAATAAAGCTCAAAAACCATTAAAAAACCATAGACATCAAGCATCAGTTGGTTGTATCCCACTCCCCATTGGAATGCCACAGCCCCCATATTTTAGTTTGGTTGCTATTGTGATATATGTATTGTTATAGTGATTTTGAGTTGTGAACCTCTCTGTTTTTATAGTCGATCCTCTGCTCTGCTCTGCTTTTCAGGAGATTAATGATATAAAATTTTGGTATAGCTTTTGCTGTTTGATGTCATCATCATGCTCTACTAAGAATCTAGTCGATGACGAGTCTTGTGCATGTAAGAATCTAGTCGATTGAGTACCGAGGAGGCTTGTGACAAAAAAAAGTATATAGAAAAAAGTGGCTTCTAGTAACATAGGGAAGTAAAATGGTTTCTAAAAGTATGCAGAGATGGTTTTTTATGACCAAGGAAAGTAATAGAATTAATACCAACAGCTTTATTAATTTAGTTTATGCATAATAATGTTGGTAGACAATTGAGATAAAGTGCGATATCAAGGAAACAGAATAGGTTTCCCTGAGTCGACAAGATTATTTGATGTAACTATATATCTGACAATAATGATATTTGGGGAAGCTGAGCAATGTTTCTTTGTAACTCTCTCTTGTCTACTGGATGTCGAAATCAAAGTTGTAGGGGTTCCATACTCCACTCTCCTCCCGAAATCTCTCAAAGAACATCACTTTCTTAGTGCGTTTCACCAACAAAGCTGTCGTACTTGTTATCCCATAGCGTTTTTCTTCATCTCCATCCTCCTGAATTTAAGGTTAATGAAAGAAAATAGATTAATGATACATATGGTGAGGAGGAGAGTGAGAAGTATCATCAAAACAAAATTAAGTTCAGTTAGATTCATACGGGAGAAATTTCATAGAACAGACAGGGGCGGACCTACATTGTGGTTGGTGGTGGCAGCTGCCACCAGTAACTTACAAATTATTTAAAAAATTACTTTGTTCATAATTATCAATGTAGCAAAATGGCTATGTTTACATGTATAATATATGAGAGATGGTGAGTTCGAATCCTGAAAGTGTCACTTTGCACCCACTTAATTTTTGGGCTGGGTCCGCCACTGAGAACAGAGCGTGCATCCCTCCGGCAGCATCGTACATAAACCTGCCAGCGATGTTTTCCAACTGTGGAAGTTGATGATCACCATCATCGATTTTAAGATCTTCAATCATGTGAGTAAAAAGTTCACGTAGGCGTGTATCCTAGGATATATATAGTTTCCACCAAAGAGAAACGTGGGTTGATTAGAAAAAAAGGCGTGGTCTAAAAGAAAAGATTAGGGGAAATATCCGACCGAGCCTAATTGTTACCTTTCGATAGTTCGAACAGTCGAGACCCCTGAGAGACAACGTATGAGTACCATAAGGAACTTCTTCTATTAAGACATCCGGATTATGTGCGCCTTTCATAATATGAAACATTGAGCACAAATTTAAGTCAGCGACAATAAGGTTAAACTCGCCATGACCATACATCATCTTCTTTTTTTCCATGTCTGCTTCTACGCTCTCGGCAAACTCCTGTGGACTCTCAGTGCCCTGTAATTAATCAAAAAAATCAACACCGTGATCAAAGAGATAGAAATGTTCTATAAGAAGAGAGAAAAAACAAAAGGGAGGTGTACGGTTCATACGTCAAGAAAATGGGAGGCGCACAGTTCCGGGGTGATTTCTCGACGATATTCAGACACCAGTGACGAGCTTAAAACGAAGGAGACTCTACCTTTTTTCGAAATACCAAACCATGTGCCGGAGTATCTTTCATCAATTCCCCTCAAGATCTGACCATTTTCATTCCAAGATGCCGCTCTTATGATCCTATTAATATATACAACAGGAAGAAGATTATAAAAAAAAAAAAATTAAAAAAGGCAACAAGATCAAGAGAAAAGTAAGCACAATTTCTTGCCTGCTTCCCCAGTTTTCTCTGTTCATCAGCACCAATAGTTGGTTTTCGCCTTCCTCTGCCCACTTGAATGCTACGATTCCACCAGCCATTGTTTCGTTTTTCAAAGAATATAAAAAGCTTTTGTTTGCTATTTGAATAACCTTGTTGATGTTTTGTGAACTTCTTTTGTATCTCTGTTTTTTTTTATGAGTTTGTGAGCCAAGAGCTAGGCTCTGTATTTATAACCGAGAGAAGATGTATGATATTGGATGATCTCTCTGCTGCTTTGTCATTTACCACTTCTTCCTCTTTTTCATTTTATCCATTTTCGGATATACAACAGCTAGCTTTTCATTTGTTTTCTATCACCATCATTCATCCTCTCTACTTCTCCATTGAGTAACCGTGTGTACTTGTGGTCAATAAAGCACTCACAATGTGCAATTTATAGTAATTAAGCATAAGGAAGATGCAAAATTTCAACAATCTTTTTCAAAACCATTGCACTTCTCCATGCTTTCTAGCTTTTTTTTGCTTCTGGAGGGAGGTTGAGTGATGAACATAAACGATCAACACTTTACTCATATTTTTACTATACTAAGAAATATTCCAATGAATTGGTTTCTCGCAGCACACACCGACACACAAGTTAACAACTTTTACGATGCATGATCCAAACCTATTATTAATTTGGTCTTAATTAGCTTTTCTTTGCGTGCTAGTGCTGACTTTACTTGTTCAAACTATATATAAAAAAATGTGACAATTAGATCGAAGAAGAAATGTCAAAAATGTGTATGGTGGAACGATCTAGACTTATTAATATTTTCAAGGACTCAAAAGTCCAAACTATTCTTTGTTCTTAGCTAATCTTTGGTGGTAGTCTTTGATTCTAGTAAAGACGAGTCATTTGTATGTGGATCAATTTAGAATTTTTTTTACTATTCTAAATATTTATAGTGGCACACAAGTTTCAGACTCAAAAATCCAACTAGTAGTATATGATCTTAATTTGCTTTTGTGATCCGAGTCTAGTGGTTCAAGTTGACCCTCTTTTATCAAATAGCCACCAAGTATTTATGATTGAGTAAGTTTAACAAAGTCTTTAATTTTAGACTATCTTTCTTTATTTTTTCCTTATATAAAATATATGTTAAGAACTCAAGAATTCATTTATTTACTCAAATTGTTTAGGTTATAGTCCTTTATTTTTGTGAACTTTGTCAAAAAGCACTGATGAGCGTCTTCTAATCTCCTAAACATTACTTTGTGTTTTTTTGTTTACTTGTTTCGCAAGAAACCAGCTTTGTTAATTAGTTCTTCTTGTGCGTTGAACAAATAATACAGAAATGGTTTTGTAACTAGACAGGGTTTTCACCATTGTTTTTCTTATAATTTGAAAAATTTAAAGTTAAGAATCTCTTAAAGTAGTTTTTTTTTTTAAATCTGTCCTCTTCCAATAGTTCTGAAAAATAAAGAAAAGTTTGTTTTGAAAATTATAACTTTGTGTAACTTGTAATACAAGTACGAACAAACTTCTGAAACGAAATGAACCAAAACAAAATCAAACAAAATGAAACTGGCACTGGTTAAACCAAATCTTTCTCTTCTTTCGAACATGGATAGAAAAATTATATTATAAACCTAAACTTAAGTAGTGCACACAATCAGACCTACTGAGGGTTACCCACGCCACTAAGGGGTCTTCGAGAGATTCTTACTGCTTACCCAAGCAGGAAAAGCCCTCGGAAACAGCTCTGAACGTCAGAAAATAGTCATTCCGGACAACTGCGCTGGCTGAATGGGAGAAGCACACCTATCAATAACTCGCCCGAGGGGTTCCTCCTTTTAGTCGAGTATGTAAACAACCTGAAACTATAATGAAAAACCATTTCGTACTTTTATTCTTAAGCTATAGAGTTTACATAACATACCTACAATGCGAATATCACATTCATCAAATCATCTTCTTAAATTTTGAGTAGTATACTTTTCTAGCTTCATTCATATAATTAGCCGTGCTGCAAAATACAACATCATATAATCAGAAGATAACACTTATGATTCCAATCAAATTTTACAAACTCTCAAATCATCATTAAACTTTATAATACAGAGAGCTCATGACAATATCATAATACCCCTTTCTGAGGTATGCCTTTGCCAATGTAGGTTTCAAACACAATGGCATTTGTTCGCATTGTAAACCACAACAGATAAAAGTTAAGAAAAATATATCAGATCACAAGAACCTTAGAATAACTATAGCAATCAATAATTTAACCTTAACACAAAACCCAAAAGCGTCAACAACGCAAGAGGAAGACGAATTGTCTAATAAAGCTTCAATCCTTTTACAATGGTTTCAGGGGGAAAGAAGAGTATTTTTCCAACCATTTTTCAAAAATACCCTTTTTATTTATCTTTTTTCAAAAATACATATCTAAATATGAAAGATTATAAAGTTTTATATGGGAGAAAAACCGAAAAATACGTCACTTATTTTTTATTTGGATGTTTAATACCTCATCTTTTTTGGTTGGAACAAAAATACTTCGTTTATTTTATTTTGTCATAAAAACCTTTGTTTATATAATGGTTAGAGAATTTATACCAACTATTTAACAGATGTTAACGCCGTTACAAAATTATCTAACAACCTTGTAATATCAAGTTTACCTTCACTCTATTAATTGAAATTTTAATCTGATTAATTTTGTTATAGAAAGGAATTTAATTGGCATAGGTAATTTAGAAAACAAAACTTTAATTCTGACCTAAATACAATAAAATCTCTATAAATTAATACTCGATAAATTAATAATCTCTACAAATTAATAATTTTCTCCGGTCCCAAGTTGGGACCAGTATAATTTAAGACACATTTCGATAAAATAATAAGATAATATTTTTTTGAGAATCCTTTGTAAATATATGGTCTCATCAATATTATAAATTAATAATTAGGTAAAATTTTCAAAATATATGTATATATAGACACATTATTTTTTGTTAGAGTTTATTTCTAATATTTTACTATATAAAATTTTTTTAGAATTCTCTTTCAAGACATAATAAATATTATTTTCTTTGTATTGATTATATAAAATACTAATTATCATGATTAAATCTTATTTTTAAATATTTTTTTGAAAACACTTTCCAAATTAGGAAAATCTCTATATAAATTAATAATTATTAATTTATCGATAAATTAAAATCTCTATAAATTAATAAATTTTCATGGTCCCAACATTATTAATTTATAGAGGTTTTACTGTATGTGTTTAACGGACGTTTCGTATAAATTAACAAAGCCCACTAACGAAATTTGGTTCCAAAGGAAAAATCAGAAGTTGGGGTTCCTAGATTTTAATAAATTTATTTTGTTGGTCTTTTTATCATTTGCCTTATGGCTCGCTCAAGGAGAGGAGAGTGTTTAGAAGAAACGATCTCAATAACATTTTAAAAAAAAAAAGACAGAGAAGCACCTAAGTCACATTGGGCAAGCGGCTTTACCACTTTGTCCGTCACCATGTGAAGAAGAAGAAGGACAAGAAAACAAAACCTTGAAGCAAGACAAAAGAAACCTATTTATTTTCTAAAAATACGAAGAAGGGGTAAGTGATATGGATCTAATTTTGGTGGATTGATATATACAAAATTGTTGTTGGATCTTGGATGAATAGAAAAGGTTATTGGCTTGGCCCAAGTTAGATCTATGTTTATGACTATTTACACCGACCTAGAGTTGGCTTTGACATGTATAGAAAATGTGATTGTGTTTTATACGACATATTTATAAACATGATGCTAAAATGAAAATATGATTTTACAGCTCAATATTAAGATGCAAAGGCATATATGGTTATTTGGCATCGCTAATTTAAAATTGATTTACCATAGATTATGATTTATGACAAATGCTATGTTTTATTATTTCATTCATATCACCACATACATATATTCTAAAGTCAATTATTACATGCATAATTGGTTATGATAAGAATAGTTGTATTTTTATATTACGGGCTGATGATAAAGAAATAAAAGCATGCACGTAAATCTAACAAGAGACATCGTCATGCACGAGTTTTTATTCCATTTCAGCTTTCGAAAAGAGAAAGCAAATATAAATCGCTTTAACCTTTTCTTAAATTGCAAGTTATTAATGCTCGTATTTAATCGTATTATTTATTTGTTCCTCAAAGAAGATGCAAAAACTTTAAAATTTCTCTGGAACATCTTCTATCCATATATTCGGAAGGGAGGTTGTTTACCTTAAATTCGTCATAACTGGGGAATTGATTGATACTTACTTAAAAGTGGCCATAATTAGCAATTTGGTTGAAGATGTACAAGACCTTCTGTATTTTTGGGGGCTAGGATTCATCTCTTTGAGACATAGATTCAATTTCAAATGGTTATTTTACCGTAAATATTTTACCGTTGAAGTTAAGAGATAGTATATCGTTATAGTTACTGTGTTTAAGAGTGGTAAAAATTAATAATATCAACATTTATCACTAAATACCAATGTGTGTCTAGATGTTAGGATATTTAGGAAAGATTTTTCGGGTTCAAATATTTTAGATCTAGAAATTTAATGATATTTTTGGAAAATAAACTTCATAATGAATCAATTTAGTGGTAATGTACTTTAGAGAATTTCCCAAACGAAAAATACTCTAAGTGAAAGTTTATTGTTTTAAAATCTTAAAATCTTACAATTTTCAATATTAGTGTACAATTAAACAATACTCTACATTAGTTTCACTAGTTTATCATAATTTTAATTCAAAACTCTCCTTTCTTTGTAGTATAAAACTAATTAAAAATTAAAATTTAACTATTTATCTAGTAAACCAAAAAAGAAAATTCTAAAATTTCTTTAATTAGAAAAGATATAAATAAACAAAAATAAAATAAAATAAAGAAGAAGACAAGAACGAATAAAATCACAGTGATTTTCACTTTTCAGTGTTTTTTTTTTTCTCCCTCATTACAAAACAAAACTAGTTCTGTCTGAAAAAAATTAAAGCTTTAACTCTCTTTCTCTCTCTCTTACACTGTTACTGTCGTCTCTCTGTCTCTCCAGTAATCCCCACTGCTCTAAAAAAGAAAAAATCATTAATTGCTGAAACCATCTCTCTCTCTCTCTCTCTATCTCTCTTCTTCATCTTTGAAGCAGCTTCTCTTAACTCTTTTACCGTTTCGTTTCCTCAAGATTGATAGATCTGATTCCTTTCAAGAAATGAGACAGAGAATAATGTCGGAATCAGTCAACTAGGGCTTTTTTAAAAAAACAGGGTCAGCGAGAAAAATGAAGAAGTATAGCAGAGAAGTGAGTCCAGAGAGAGCAAAAGTATGGACTGAGAAGTCACCAAAGTATCATCAAAAGATTAAGAAAGTCCCAATTGTTTATTACCTCTCCAAGAATCGTCAACTTGAGCATCCTCATTTCATGGAGGTTCTCATGTCTTCTCCCAATGGTTTATACTTGAGAGGTAATAATAATAGTAATCATAGTTTTTAGAAGATTTTGAAGAATTGTGAAGATTCAATTTGTGTTCTTTTTTTTGGAGTTTTGCAGATGTTATAGAGAGGCTTAATGTTCTTAGAGGTAGAGGAATGGCTTCAATGTACTCTTGGTCTAGTAAAAGGTATGTAACGTTCTTGATTTTGACTTCTTTTGAAGCAAGAAGAGTTTCAGATTCAATTTTTTTTTTTTTTATTCAACTCTGCAGAAGCTATAGGAATGGTTTTGTTTGGCATGATCTATCAGAAGATGATTTGATTTTACCAGCTCATGGGAATGAGTATGTTCTTAAAGGTTCTGAGTTATTTGATGAATCCAATTCAGGTGAAAATAATATTTTTTTGTTTTTGTAATCATGTTTGGTTTCAATGAAGAGGCTTTACAAAAAAAAACTATATTTGTGCAGATCAGTTTAGTCCAATTGTGAATTTACCTAGTCAAAACATGAAGCAAATAGTTGTGGAGCCACCATCATCTAGAAGTAACGATGATTCGTCTTCGTCTTCGAGTATGAATAATGGGAAAGAGACTAATAAGCATTCTCAAGAAGATGATGAGCTTTCTCCTGCAGCTCTTCGCTCTGTCTCTTCTGGTGTATCGCCTGATTCAAGAGACGCGAAGAACTCATCTTCTTGGTGTTTGGCTGAGTATAAAGTGTATAAGAGCGAGGGACTTGCAGATGCTTCTACGCAAACTGATCAAATTATGAGTGATTGTTCTAAGAAACCAATAGAGACCTTTAGTAGAGGTGTTTCAACTGATGATGATGGATCATCAGAACCTGAAACCAGCGAAATTAATCTAGCGAGCGAGGCTTCTTGTGCGGGGAAAGAGAGGGAGAGTGCGGAAATTTCGAGAAACTCTGTCTCGCCGCCTTTTTCCAATAGTGCTTCTTCTCTGGGAGCAAAGACTGATACTTTAGAGTCTCTAATAAGAGCTGATGTTAGTAAGATGAATAGTTTTAGGATTCTTGAACAAGAAGATGTTCGAATGCCTGCTCATTCGCGGCTTAGGGCTTCGAATATGCTTATGCAGTTGATATCATGTGGTTCAATATCAGTCAAGGATAACAAGTTTGGCCTTGTCCCAACTTACAAACCGAAGTTTGGCCACTCGAAGTTTCCGTCTCCTTTCTTCTCCTCATCGTTTATGATGGGAGATCTTGATCGTTTGTCGGAAACACCGAGTCTAATGGGCTTGAGACTGGAGGAGAAAGAATATTTTAGCGGGAGTTTGGTCGAGACAAAGCTACAGAGGAAGGATGCAGTGGATGGTAATGCTTCTCTTAAGCGTTCTTCATCCTACAATGGTGACAGGTAGATTTCTGAATCACTAGAAAACAAGTTCTTGATAGTGATTGTTGATTCTGTTGAATTGGATGATGTGTTATGTTTTGATGTTATGTCTGTTCTTGTTCTGTCTTTAATGTTTCCACTAAAAATACAACTTCAAGTGTGCCATTTTTGTTCTAAAGTTTAGTAAAGTCAATCTCTGTGAATTCTTGAGGACACATTTCATTTTGACTATTTCAGGGCATCCAACCAAATGGGAGTAGCAGAGAACGGAGTTTCAAAACCCGGTGGTTCGAAATACAATCCAGTATCGAGAAAGGCTTCTTCTATATTAAGCAAGCAACAACAGGGTAGTGAGTCCATGAGATCTCCTGTCTCAGAGAAGAAAAGAAACTCATCAGAAATTACAACCAAGAACATTCCATGTGCCACTAAAACACATGACGTTTGCAGTAAAAGAATAACCGAATCTTCGAGGAAGCCCGATTCGTTCAGAGAAGATGAGGAGAAAGTGATTGACGAAAGGTAAAACATTAACTTCTTGAATTCCTGTTCAATGTATTGATATGAACATATCATTCTTATTTTCATATCAGGTTTATGTAAAGCCTATCTGTGTATCTTGAACAGGCTTGCTTCAGGAGCTCGGGTTAGAATCGAATCGCAAGTGCCTTCAGAGGAGCCTTAAACCAAGTTTACAAAGAGGGTTTTGAAAACTAAAAGACCCTTTTGCTGGTTTGTTTTTGTGGCGGCAACTTTCTCCATTTTGATTGTAAATCTAGAAAGGTGTCATGTAAAAGAGAAAGGGGCAAAAAAGTTTCATAAAAAGCCTAAAAAGATCAGAGAAAGAGAGAACACTAAATGGTGGAATTGGACAGTCCCCAGAGAAAAAGTTGTAAGTAAATTGAGAGAAAAGAGTTTGGTAACAAAAGGTATTAATGTTTTGATGTGATGTGAGATGGAGAAGATGGACCACTGTTACTGTGATTGGTGTGGTCATTGTTTACTGATTGGTGTGGTCATTGGTAGGTTGGTTTTATTACTAATTCTATGCCGTTTCGGTTATCTGAATATATCAGAATCTGACACATGCCTTTATGATGTTCATGACTTATCCATTGTTGTGTTTCTTAAGATTTTGCTGATAGGTTACAGCAAAATTGAATTTGTTCCATGTCTGCATAAGTGAAGAAGACTGAAGAAAAGGTGCTGTCATATTTACTGGGTCAATAGACAATAGTATAAAGTAAAATAATGTTTATGCTAGTTGACATTCAATATTCATATTTTGCTTCACAAGTTTATTATAGACTGTATCTAGAGTTATGTTTCCAAAGATGTGATAGGTCACACCAATATTTAGTTTGTTCCATATGTGACATAGTCATCATGATGCATATATACTGCAAAGATTGTCACTGTAGTTGTGGAAGTTTTGTAAAAGTGGAGAAGTTGCATTAGTCAAGGGTTCTTGAGTTGTTGTTTTTTTTTTTTGCCTACGAACTCCATACACTAGTTTATCGTAATTGATTCTCTTCGTGAGAAAGCCAAACAAGTACCGACAAACCTACATGGGAAAAACAATAACTGCGTGCCCTTGCACATTTCGCGAATTTATCGGCACTAAGATTCTACTTCTGGAGATATGCCTAATGTTGAAATCAAGATCATATTATAGAAAAGCTTGAGAAGATTACAACACCAACGGTACATGATAAAAGACTCGTCAGCAGACAACATAATGTTTTCGAAGACAAAGAGATATCATAAACTCAAACAATGATATAAAGTAATAGTGATAAAAACTCGAGAAATGAAAAACATTAGCAATCATGCAGGTCATTTGTGATGGTCGGATAGAGATTTGTATGATTGCTAATGTGATTATATGAGTTAAGTAATTACTAATTAAGTTATCACAAGCTCTATAATGTTTGGTATAGATTTGTATGATTGCTAATGGTTTTTGACACTGCCATTGGGAATCTGTTCATGGATGTAGTTAGTATCAAATAATTTAAATGCATCCAATATAAAACCAAAATTCATAAATTTAAGTTAAATATTATAAATAAATTAAATGCGTCCGATAATTGAAATGCATCCACTTGACTAATATTATGTATGTTTATTAGTGACTTGTTTTGTTTTTGTCAACTCTGTCTACAATAGCTTAAAGTGGCATGATATTCCCTCTTTTCCAAATCAATCCAAATTTTTTTAAAAAAATCACACATATTAAGAAAACATATTAAAATGTATAGAAAATTTATTTTTATCTTTGTCAAACAGTTTACACAGATTATTTAGAAACAAAGTAAGTATATTATTATTAATTATCATTAACAAATAAATATTTCTAGAAAAAAAAAAATCAAATTTTTGGTTTTTGAAATAATTCATTTTAATAAAACATAGATTAATTAAGAAAATAGTAAGTATTTTTAGTAATGTCGGCTATGTTACTCAATCGTTTAATTTCTCTAATATAAGTCAACAGCTAGAAGGAATCTGTAAAATTGGTTGACCAATTTTATTTTATTTTACATTTTATATACATGATAAAATATGACAACTTAGTTTATAAAAATAAAAATAGTTAGTTATTATCCTCACCCGCCAAGACTCGATGTGTTTACTCAATATCATTTGTCTGTTTGTTGAGACAAGAACCAAAAACCGTGCATTGAACAGGCTTCTTCATAATTTAATTACGAGTATCCATAAATGATTAGTATTTGGAAATGATATACTCAGAACTGGCATAGACTGCGAAAGGTAATTTGATTTGGATGCAATTACGATTTGAATGTGAAAGTAATATAATTAGTTAGATTTATAAATGGAGATATGATTTAGATGCGATATGATTACATTATATTCTCAAATGACAAAACGAACTAAATGCGATTAGAAAACAAAATACAAATTAACCATTTATTAAATATCTATATTATATATTAAAATAAAATAAAAAATAAGAATGAAAAATCATCATTTTAATTTTTATGGTAATTCATATAAGAAAACAATATAATTGATAATCGAAAGGCAAAAAAAATGTATATATATATATATATATATATTTATATTCAAAATAATGACTCAAATGGTATATGTGAAACTAAAATAAACTATATATAAAATGCGCAGATATATATCCAAAAAAAAAAGAAGATGAAAGTATTTGTAAAATATGAGAATCATCAAATTACAATCTCGAATTTTGATTGACATTAACAGTTGTGATAAGCCGTTTTCAAATTTTATTGCTAACATTAAAATTAACCAACACAGACACTAATATGTAATCTATAATGTATAGACAGTAAATTATAAACAGTACACTGACATATGTACGACTAATAAAATTTTTGGTTTAATCGAACCCAAAACTAAACACTTTTGAACGATCTCTTTTTTAATACGGTCTGATATATTCAAATAAATATTCACACAACCAAAACTATAAAATAAAGTAACAATTAAATTAAAATTTAAAAATTATATATTTAGCAGGAAGTGGATGGATAAACTTCTATTCTGATTCCTTTCATACAATTTAGATACACAAACAAATAAATAATATATAGTTTAGTATTGTGAACCGAACAGCCTAGCAGCACCAATAATAGCATGTCGATGAGAATGTCAATTACTTTTTATATCTTCTTCTTGTCAACCACAATTTGGATAAATACGTGTTATATGTATATATATATATATATATATATATATATATATTTTATGTGATATATATGTTGTGATATACGACTAATGTTTTGTGTTTTATACTAATTGTTTTTCTAAATATTCGTTCAAATTTTGAATCTGACTTAATATTTTTGTAATCTACGGCAATAATATAGACCGAAACAAGCTTACTACATTACGTTACATTGAAAGCAATGAGAAAAAAAAAACTCTTAAATGTAAGAAAGAGCAATCTATCATGTCCAACATTCGCAAAGAAAAAAATATAATATATCTAAAACAAAAAAGAGGAGTTTGGATATGAAATATAATTTTTTTTCCCTTACTAGATAGAAGGTTTGAACCTTAGGCCATAATCCTTTTAAGATTTAGAAAAAACCGGATAAAAGTCCCTGATCCAAATGGAAATATCTACTAATTTCGTGTTTGAAGAAAATCGATCTCTGGCCTAAACCTATCAGACAATTCTTCATTCAAATAGAAACCACTGTACCAAAACCACTTAGTTAAATATAAAATTTTATAATGTTTAGATAGAAATTAGCACTAAACGTTTATACATGTCAAAAAGGCATACTAAATATTGAATATTGGTGAGACAGAAAATATGGGGAATTTCAAAAATACCCTTTATATTTATAGACACAAATTATCTTCATATGTGTGTAAATTTATATATATATATATATATATATATATATATATATTTCATAAATACTGTATAAATATCTTTTAAAAACCTTATAAAAACTTTATAAATGCCGTTTAAAACTTTTTAAAACCTTATAAATATTTGGATTTAGTCTTTCAGTAGTAATGATGATCTTGATGTACCTTATCAATCATATAAAAGTTTATAATATTTCATATTTGAAAAAGGTATTTTTGAAAATAATAATAAAAAAGAGTATTTAAAAAAAAAGGTACACCAAAAAAGACATTTCTCAAAAATTATCTAGAAAATAACTTTTTTATAAGCATTCTTGTTTCTATTTCATTTGCTTAAACATTATTATAAAAAAAAATCAAATGATAAGATGTGACGAAGTACAATTTTTAATATCGTTAACTAAAAATAAAAAAGAGTTGAACAATCTTTTTTTTTTTTTTGGACAAAAAATATAACTGTCATGCAACACGACAAATCAATCATTTGATAAAAGAAGTATAGCAAAAATTATATTAAATAGACAGGTCATGCATGACATTACGAATAAACTAAAATAATCTAAAACCAACCAACACAACAAGCCTATGTTAATGTTACTATCTTTTTTTTTTTTTTGATATGAGAACTAATAATTTTGTTAATCTACTAAAGCAAAAAATTTGATGATAAATATAAAACAAAAATATATACTGTATGTAGGCATGTCAATTAGGGCTAAACCCCGCGGGCTAGTTTGGTCCGGCCCTGAAAAACATCGGTCTCGGGTTTAAATATATATGTACATAAAAAACGGGGCCTTTCGGGCTAAGCCCATTCGGGCTAAAGGGTTTTTCGGGCTTAGCCCGGTTGGGCTCGGGCCGGCCCGAAAAGCCCTTATACAAGAATTTTTTGAATATTTTAGTTTGATTAATGTTATAGTTTTCATATTTACTTACTAGTCTTACTTATTACTTTTAAAATCTTTATACAAAGCTAAAACTAAATATATATAAGTATCATGATTTTGAAATCATCAAAATATCTATTAAATTTTGACTCTATCTTATACTTTAAAGTATTTTAGTTCCATTTCTTATTGGGTTAAAGTGTAAATAATTTATTTGGCTTTTATTTTTTTTCTTAAATTAAGTTAGTTTTATTGAATATTGATAAGTTATTTAAAATTTGATGCGTTATTTTTATAGTAGACCTTTAAATATAGTTTTTAAAAAACTATTATGAACTTAGAAATTGATTTTTTTATCGGTAAATAAAACCCAAAAAAGCCCGAAAAGCCCTGTAGTCCTGTTAGGGCCGGGCCGGGCTTTGAAATATAGGCTCGGAAATTTTTCGGGCCGGGCTCACATATATGAGGGCTTTACAGGTTTCGGGCCGGGCCGGGCCGGGCTAGCCCGATTGACATGCCTAACTGTATGTTACTCAAAACATCACTATCAAATTCACATTTTTTTATTTCTTTAATAGAGTTGATGATAGTAACATAACATAACACTCATGTGTGTTTATATAAACTCATTTTTGTGTCTCTCTCTTTCACAAGTACTTTACTTCATTACACAAACAAACAAAAATAAGACAATGGACGAAAGAGTCAACGCTCTTTCCAACATGAACGATCTAGAACTTCACGACTTCTTGGTCGATCCAAACTTCGATCAGTTCATAAACCTCATACGAGGTGATCATCATCAAACCATAGACGAAAACCCAGTTCTTGATTTCGATCTTGGTCCATTACAAAGCAGCCCTTGTTTCATTGACGAGAACCAGTTCATCCCTACACCCGTCGATGACCTGTTCGACGAATTGCCTGACTTAGACTCCAATGTCGCTGAATCGTTCCGTAGCTTTGACGGTGAGAGTGTTAGAGCTGGTGGTGGTGAAGAAGAAGAAGAAGATTACAACGACGGAGATGATTCATCAGCCACCACGACTAATAATGATGGTAGCCGTAAGACCAAGACTGATCGGTCTAGGACTTTGATCTCCGAGAGGAGGAGGAGAGGTCGAATGAAGGATAAGCTTTACGCGTTGAGATCTCTTGTTCCTAACATTACTAAGGTAAACCACAACATTTTCAGACGCAAGATTTGGTAATGAAAGTATTAATATTGAGTTTTTTTTATGTGTGTGTGTGTGTGGCGTTTAGATGGATAAAGCATCCATAGTTGGAGATGCGGTGTTGTATGTTCAAGAACTTCAATCACAAGCCAAGAAACTTAAATCCGATATCGCGGGCCTTGAAGCTTCTTTAAACTCTACTGGAGGGTACCAAGAACCTGCTCTTGATGCTCAAAAGACTCAACCTTTTCGCAGTATCAATCCTCCTGTTTCCAAGCAAATCATTCAGGTAATCTTGAAAAAGCTTTATATATTGATAATCTTGAAATATCAAGAATCTTGAAAATTTTAAATTTTGTTGTTTTGTGTGTTAGATGGATGTTATACAAGTGGAGGAGAAAGGGTTTTATGTGAGATTGATGTGTAATAAAGGAGAAGGTGTTGCTCCATCTCTATACAAGTCTTTGGAGTCTCTTACAAGTTTCCAAGTGCAGAACTCTAACCTAAGCTCTCCTTCTCCTGACAGATACCTCTTGACATATACGTTAGATGTAAACACAACACCAACTTGTACCCTTTTACTTTGTTTTGTTTCCGAATATATACGTCTTACTTACCGAGTTGGCTTGTTTGGTGGAAACAGGGGACATGCTTTGAACAGAGCTTAAACTTGCCTAACCTGAAGCTGTGGATCACTGGATCACTTCTAAACCAAGGTTTTGAATTCATCAAGCCATTCACTTGATTCTGTAACGCTTGCTCTAACGTGTGTAAACCCCGGTCCTGCATCTTCGTTGATCGTGTTCCTTCTTACATGTTTCATAACTCCCAACGATCTAATTTTAATTCTAGTGAAGATGTAATAGAGATTGTTGATTTCTCTATTAAATAAACACCATGTTATAGAGTAATTTAGAGACACAAATATATGGTTAAATGAAGTAATTTCATGTTATGTTTATAATCTCAAGTCTTAAGCTTCTCTTGCTTTGATATATTATGTTTTGGTTTATTATTCTAGCGGCTCGTAAGTTCTTGAACATTGGCTAGCTGCGAGACCATTCACATCTCCGATGGCCTCAAGTTCCTCAGACTAAACAAATCATTCAATATCATTGATTAGCTCTAAACTATAATCAAAACATACTATAAAAAAATTCCTTCATTTTATTTCTGATCTACAAAATATAATAATCCACAAGTAACAATGAACAAATGAAATGATATGTGCTCTCTTTTTTTCTGTTTTGTCTATACAAACTCTTTTGTTTTGTTTTGGATGCTACAAATGAGAGATATATGTAACAACAACCACCAAGTATAGTGTGCTTCCCCTCTTCTAATCATCATTGACTACTGCTCGTTGTTGTTGCACTACTAACACCGAAGTTTTGCTCGGGAAATCCGGCGAGGCCAAGAAATCGCCAAGAACTCCAAGCTCCTCAAACTCACACCAATCCTCTATACCGCTGATCGCCTCGTGTTTCTCACCGCATGTTTTTCCCACTACGAAAAGATCGTAATCGAAAGCCATGGAACGTAGAAGCATTGACGTATCCGCTCCATCCAAGATCTCTTGTTCCAAATAAATCGTTGAGCTTTCTTCTATTTCCATTCTTGAATCGTTTCTTTTCATCAACTCTCTTAGTTCCACCGTGTCAAGCATTTGATCCCAACCTGTCGCCTCTCTGCTCTTTCCCGATGCCAAGAGGCGTAGAACTGTTAATGTCACGTTCTCTTGACGGGCCATTCGCTTCGCAAAGGCTAGCGCTTCCCTATCATCTTTTCCTCCCACGAATATCACACACACCTTTCATAAAAATTCCTCTCTATGCTTAGTATCAAATCTTTATATATAGACATAGTTAAAGCATTGTGGATGAGACTCGACCACTAGACCATTTATAATTTGTTTCTAATACGGACAATAATAAAATGAAACTATAATACCTTAAGGTTTTGCTCCTCGTCTTGCTTTTTGCTAACGAGATGGCGTTCGACAAGGATACCGACAGAACAAGGAGCTTGTTTCAAGACATTGAAATTGAGAAACCGGATCATCTCAACATCGGACACTATAGATGTTCGGTCGAGTGACCAAGTACGGTGGAAAGGAAGAATGATAAGCGAGACAGCTTTATCAAGAGCTAGCCAACAAATATCATCTTGCATATGGTTGGAGTTTGCGATGCAAGTAAATGTGTCTATTGAAATGGAACTAGAGACATATCGATGGAAATGTTCGAAAGAGAGGATAACGTTTTCGGAATATTTTTTCCCTGTCCCGACTCCAAGTTTCTGAACTTTGTGTGAGATCAAAGTGGGAACATCTTGACCTTGTAACTCGACTAGGTGGAGCACGTAGCAAGTAAGAGGGCTCTCTTCTGATTGGTAAGAAGCTTCTAGAAGGTTGATCATGGAAGATATGTGGTCTGGTCTATGGATACAGACAAGAGTCTTTAGCTCTCCACTGTTCTTCATACTCGCTAAATTTCTCTTTTGGTAACACATGAATTGCTTAGATGGGTCGTAGAGAAACCCGACCACCACTGGTAAGACTAGAGAGTTGATGACAATGCACAAGACTAGGATTGAGAATATATCTTTTGATAATAACTGTAACATTAATATCAAACCATCATCAGTTAGAGAATAATAAATTTAAAAAAAAAATGAAAGAAACGATAATCATGATTGAGAGATGAGAGACTAACTTTAAGGCTGTGAGCGTAAAAGTAGAAGTTGAGTTCAATAACACCCTTATGAGCCATGATAAGGGAAAGGACGACAGAGTCTCGCAACGGCATTTTATAGATGTAAGGTACAATCACTGAGACAGAGAGCTTCAACAAGAAGATGAGCAAGACGAGGGACGCAACCGCGAATTTCTTTTCGTCGTTGCTATAGAATGTCAAAGCGTCTTTCCAAGATGCGATATCAGTTCTAAGCATAGTGGCTGATAAGAAGAGAGGTAATATGATACCAAAGTTAAAGCTCTCTAGGCGTTCGACCAATGCGGATCCAATAGGAGGTCCATTAGGAATGGCGAGACCAAGAAAGAAGGCTCCAAGTGCAGGATTCTGATCAATTAATTTCCAATACATACAAGATAAGCACAAGACGACGAGAATCCCGTAGATGTATTTGTCTTCTATCGGTCTCCCTTCTCGTTTCTGCTTGATTACTTTGAATAGTAAAGGCCTCACAAAGGCAAAAAGAATGACGAGAGAGAATGATATCTCTATCAGCATAAGCATTCCACCAATGAGTGAGTATGAAGCAAAAAACGCGCTCGTCATCATGAGAACTAGTCCAACCAGATCAGAGACCAAGGCTGAGGACAAAGCAACCCGACCGATAGATGAATGGTTCATGCCAAGGTCGCGCAATAGCCTTGCAATCCCGGAGAAGGATGTGAGGCTTTCCATTAGTAGCAATGTGTCATAATGTTGGGAAGAGAGCGGTCTATTTTCAACAGATTTGAACTTGTAAAGCATGTAGCCAACAATTATAGGGAAACTAACCGTTGCAATTCCAGTGACTCTTGCTTTTGACTCAGCCTTAAAGATTCTCTTGACGTCCATTTTCACACCTTTAAGGAACCAAAAAATCATGAATCCAAATGATCCAAGGCATCCTGGAATGTCGATTCTGTTTTTCGGGACCAAGATCTCCCCGATGATCGAGTTATTACCCGATAAAGTAAGTATAACATTCAAGAGTATTCCCGCCTTCAATGCAAAACCGGTTTTGTCAGTAGCAAAACACACATACAGTATTTTGAAGAAACATAAAAAGAAGAGGAAAAAGAACTCACAAGCATCATAGAGGAGAACTTGGGAACAGAAAGACCCAATTTCTTGAACATGATATTAAAAGCTTGCCAAAAGAAGAAGACGATCAAGATGACAATCTCGAGATTCGGAAGACGGTATTGCCAAATATTAAGACCTACACTTTTCAAAATAAGTCTCTCCCAAATACCATCTGAAGTCAGCTTAGGAGGATGCTCCTCACACATAGACCCATCCTCTCTTTTAGCTTCACCATACCAAGCCATATCAAATACCCATTGTATTTCAGGACTCATCTCCATAATATCACCACCTCCCATTACTGGCATCCCATCGCCGCCACCCTCGTTGCTACCTCCCGACATCCCGTCAGTAGCTGAAAATTCGCCACCTCCACTAAAATCCCCTGACATCCCAGGTCCTGTCCCATTCCCCATTTCCATGACTTCAAGAAACTTATGAGAGAGATTTTGTAAAAAAAATGGGAAAGAAAACAACAAAGAAATGTTGGGATCCTTTTTGAGTGTAAGCCATTTGTAAAACAAAGGGCACACAGATGTATATGTTATTAATAGGTTATGCTGTTTTTAAAAACACACTTTAGACATCTATAGACATATGTAGTTTTAGACAGTTTTTGAGGTTTTTCTCCACTATAAATAGTATATCTTCAGCTTCTTATTAGTTAAACCATAGAAGATGTCACCTAAAACTTAACCTGAAAAAAACCTTAGCAAATCATTCAATATCATTACATATATGACTCAATATCAGTCACTTGGATTCCCATTACATATATGACTCATTACTAAAAATAGCTTATAAATGTGTAAATTAGTTTGTCATAAAAATAGTGAAGCTTATATTTTGACTATAAAACATCATTCTATTTAAAGAACCCATTCCTTCACCTTAAGCATGAATATAATCCATTCTATAAACGTTGTAATGCAACTCATAGAAAGCAAAAGAGACATAAGCCTGACATTATCAACAAACTAATCTACATGTGCATCCCAAATATGACTAAGGGACAAGATTGGCTTGTGTATTCTTTTTTCCTAATCAAAAACTAAGCAATAAAATGAAAAGAGTAAAAAAAAACATGTGAGTAAAGTTGGAAAACTGGTAAGATCTATCTTAACATTTTTGAAGTACATTTTGCTCAAAAATCTATTTTTACATTAAACTGCCCAAAAAACCAATGTCTAATCTCTTATCTAACAATATTCATTAAGGATACGTATGTCTTTTAATTCTTGAGTCGGGTTATGTGTCCCTCTCGGGTCAAAATTAAATTGTTATGACACTATCAATTATCCGTTTAACTATGGGCCTCTCATAAAATCGAGTACTAATTTTGTTGGGCTGACAATCAGATTTTAGGCCTTAAATACAAACATATTTATTACACTCTTCTTCTCCACGTCAAAACTAATAAACGAAATAAATGCAAAACTTTACATAATCTCACAATAATATTCAATCGAAATCTTTGGCCTTAAATACAAACATTTATTACACTCTTCCTTCTCCACGTCTAAATTAATAAACGAAATATATTCAAAACTTAACATAAATTAACAAAATTTATAATCGTATATATTCACATTCAATAACGACATCCATATCTTCATAGCGAATCAATCAAACAATCCAGAAATATTTTCAATCACGTATTATTCCTCAAATTTAGGCCTATATTAACTCATATGGTAAGACAGATTTATTATTAAACGCATTTATAATGAATATAATTTTATACATACCAAAATCATCTAATCTTGCCAATCAAGCTAAATCACATACGTATCATACGACTCTTTATACCATCTCACACAATATATATATATCTAGCTATCACCATCACAGAAATTCATCGCAACACATACACCTATAGCATACAAACCTAAAAAGTCATTACTATTTCTAATAATATGTCTGCTTCATTTGCATACTTAAGAGACGTTCGTCCGTACAAGACAGCTTGGAGAGTCCAAGTTAAGGTTCTACATTCGTGGAGACAGTACACCAACATAACTGGAGAGACTCTTGAATGTATTTTTGCTGATGACCAGGTCAATATCATACACTATTGTGAATTTGACAATATAATCCGATTTTGTAGCTAATATGTATTGCTATTATGTCTCAGGGTGCTAAGATCCATGCAACGGTTAAGAAGGATTTGGTAAACCGTTACGTCAATAACCTTGATATTGGAGATTGGAAATTCATTGAGAATTTCCAATTGACTCATGCTTTTGGTCAGTTCCGAACAACAAGTCACCTCTACAAGATGGCTTTCATTAATGGCACCGTCGTAACAACATGTGCCCCTGTCTCAGACTCAAACTACTTAACGTTGGCTAAGTTCGAAAGCATTCAGAGTGGCGATCACAATAGTTGCATGTTGATTGGTAACAATAATTTCCTACACAAATCCAAAAATATATTTATGCACTGATTTTATATTTATGTCTAATGGAGTCATTTACATTGTAGATGTGATGGGACAAGTTGTGAATATAGGAGAGATTGAAATGGTTGAGGCCAATAATAAGCCTACTAATAAGATCGACTTCGAACTGAGAAATGAAAAGTAAGCATGAGTCATTTGTATGATTAATATTATATTTCAAACTAACATTTCTCTAAATCTAACAATAATAGGGATGAGAGAATGCCATGTACCTTATGGGGATCATTTGCAGAACGAATGTACAGAGCTTGTGTTGAAGCCGATGGCAACATGGTTGTTTGCTTGCTAAGGTTTGCCAAAATTAAAATCTACAAAGGTACACAGAAAGTCATATCTCATTTGTTATAACCAGCATACATATATAGCTAAGATGTTTAAACTATTTAGGTGTTTATGTATCAGGGATCAAGAGTATCTCCAATTCATTTGATGCATCACAACTTCATGTCAACCCACTATTCCAGGAAGTTGACCAGTTTATTCAATCGTACGTTTAGATTAGTACATAGAAACAAAATCTTTATGTTACAAATTCGACTATGATACTATTCATTTATTGACAGTCTTCCTGAAGATGGACTCACCCTTACCATCCGTCAGAATCACAAACGTTTACAACTTCAAAGTGTCAAGAGAGATGATGGATGTCTTGAACATCCAAGGAAAACAATAGCAGAGATTGTGGGCTCTTTTGAGGTAATGTAATCTAATGGATACTTTAAAGTAAGGATATAATATAGAAGAGAGGAGGGTTGTATTCTCAAACAGTTAATTTATCTTCGGATTTGCAGGTGGGTAAGGCGAGACTACTTTGTACAATTTATGCTGTTGATACGGATTGGTCTTGGTACTACTTTGAACACCGTAACTGCAATAAAAAAGTTACTCCAATCCACACTGGAGGTAATAGTGTCAATTCGAAGGAGTCAAAACCAAAATTCTGGTGTGACAATTGCAAGTCAGTTGTTACTAACGTTGCTCCAAAGTAATTAAGCATAACCTTCCAAATTTTTCTACTTATATGTCATGGTTTATTAGTATTACATTCTTCTCAACATTAGTTTGTTTATGTCAGGTACATGCTCTATGCCAAGGTGATGGATGCCACTGGTGAAACTAAATGCCTACTCTTTGATAGCATTGCTCATGATGTTATTGGTGAGTCGGCAACAGCTGTACTAGGTGGATCACTTCAAGAGGTAATGTTAGTTTGAAGTCGCTAATAATAATATAAGACTGTAGTATAATGTAAATAAAACTATATAACCCACTTGTAGATTGAGAACCCAGAAGACCTCCCCGATCAACTGAAAAACATTGTTGGGAAAACATTTCTCTTTCTCGTGAATGTGGCTTCAGAAAACATTTTCGACGGAAAAGACGCTTACCGTGTTTCAAAGGTCCTTTGTAAGAATGGACTCTTACCAGAAGCTGCTTCTGAGGCATCTTTGGAACATGTAGATCCAGCTAGCATTGTGTCTGGTGATCAGGTAATATAGACACATCAAATAACAAGTAGAGCAACTACAATGTTTACCATCATCTCACATTTATTTTTGTTTCATGACTTAGCTTATGTTGACATACACTGACGACACAACAGACTCCTCAACTCCATCATCAAAAAGAGTATATCCACATAACTCTGAGTTGTCTGAACAAGCTTCCACATCGAAGAAGATGTGTACTTCGGTAATAGACTTGGATGCAGTTGAAGCTGACAAGGAATGTTTGAAATCTGCAAGTCTTAATTTTGATGAGCTTGCAACTACAGAGGCCAAAAACCCCAAGGAAGAGACTGTCACGAAACAAATGGAATCCATCCCAAAGAAGACCGTCCAAGTTAAGATTGAAAAGAAGGAGTGAGTGACGTACCGGTTGAACAATAATTGTTTTTTTCCTATTTTATCATTTAAATTTACTTTCACTTAAATACATGCCAAATTGTGGTATGATTTCTATCAACTTCAAAAAATGTTTTCAATAATTTAATAACAATTATAGCGTTATCTTTAAAAACTCCTTGAAGTCCACGATAAACAAAACAAAAATAAACAAAATCGGTGGTATAGTCAAAGATATTAGGTCTATGTAAAAACGCAATTAGATACACTCGTGTTTAGACCAAATGTTTCTTATATAAATTTGGTTTTGACTTTTAATGTAGTACCCATAAATAAACATTGGGCCTTTTTATATTACGTAGATAGAGATTGATTGGATTATTTAAGAGATAGTGAACATACCAAGTTATGATGATGCGCTCTTACTCTAAGGAATGTCGTATGATATGCGCATATTTCTACCTGCAAGTTAAAATTACATGAGAAACACGTTAAAAGCATAATTATACAACAATAATAAACGGTAGAAATAAACACAATAACCGGAAACTGAAAAGCTGATTACCCGTCATATAGCGTCAATGGTACATTCGTATATTTCTATATTCATTCAAACAATAATGATGAGACAGACGACCAAATCAAATAACTTAGACGAAATAATATACAGTGAATGAAAGGAACCAACTTATAAGGAAATAAAATATCTAATTACCCCTCATTTAGTCTGAATGAACCATTTAAAGTATATTGAAAGATATAATCACCTCAGGTCCAATAATTTAGCAACTAATGTAAAAGACGTGGACTACCAATAAAGTTTAGGTTTTTAAAGAAATCAACACAACAGAGTAGCCTACCAAATTGGTTTTATTGCTGTAAAGTTAATCTCTCTGCAGACAAAGTCAATGAAGAAGAAATTAGCAAGTGCAGAGCCAATGCCGCCTGAATTCAAACAACCTAAAAAAAAATTGCGTTTAGATAACAACGCAACTAGGGGCAAATCTAAGAGTCCAATCCATAAAGTTTCTGTACCACTAAAGCAAGTCTTCTTTACAATTTTCCAGGATGTTAACATGAGAAACATTACAAACAGAACCTCAACACAATATACAACTATGCACCATACTGTGTCTCCTACTGTGAATGCGTCTGGTAAATGTCTTACTCTAGAGTGAAATCTATTTTTATTTTAGCTGTTGTTCTAAACGTTTATTATTATTGCAGATTTCATCTCAAGAACTAGCCTAGCTCAACCATTTATCCTTAATGACATCACCAACCTACATGGTCACAAATCAATGCTGAGTTCACCAGCAAATTTAAATTCTCATTTCAGAAAGAAAGGTATTGTGATGTGGTTAATATTTTGAGAAGTACATGATGAGAATCGTCAGGAGAAGAGTCAAAAATCAATGCTGAGTTTTATTTTTCAATACAAAACAACTACAGTACAAATAATTATATGTTCCACATGAATTTCAGGAGAAGAGTCCAATAAGCATACCTATGCAAACCAAAATCTCCATCAATCTCCATTCACACCCAAGCCTGTTCCTTCACGCATTCCTACAGGTCAAAGTAATTGTCAGAAAATCATCAAATTTATAAAAACTATTGACAAGAAGCTTTTCCAAACACATTTTTGATAGTTGTTGCTTCATTAAAGTTTATTTACAAAGTAAAGTACTGTTATATTGTACTTATCCTGCTTAGTTCACAGTCCTAACAGGAAAAAATAACCGAACACCATCAACAAGTACACCAGCCATATCAAGCAATTTGATCATCAGAAATATGACAGCTATTGGGAGCAATACAGATAGACAACCTAAAACTAAGCCCAGTAACATTGTGGAAGAGCATACATCAAAAGGTACTCAGCAAAGGACTGAATTTAACCTCAAATTATGGATATACACCTATGCGTAAACAAAAAAAATGCTTGACCTTCGTTAATCAATCTTATTTTACACTACAGGTTGTCTATCGTGTATAACTCAAGACAAAGTGTTACTCCAACGTTCTTTACACACAGACCTACCCCGTAAAAATCTCAATGATGATTTTAGCCATGCAATTCCTTCTGCTAATATACAAGGTAAAAGACGTCTAATCAAATAATGGGAATTTATATATAAACTCCACTTTTGTGTTTCACAACCATTATTTTTTGTCTACAGAACAAGTTATAGATCAAAGCCAACAAAGTTCAGACAGTGAATCAGATCAAATCCAACACCACTTTACTGATGTTTTCAGTGAAGATGATGTAGTGGAGCAAGTATATGATGATAGTAGTACTGAAGATGATGAAACACAGTCCTCTCATGAAGATGAACCAGTTGTCATAAACGAAGTCTCAACAAGCCTTCTAAATCATGTTTCTCCCACAGCTGATGTTACAGAACAAAGTACAAAGAGAAAAAGAGGACGACCACGGAAAGTGGATAGCTTATCTAGACAGAGACAAACAATCAGTCAAGAAAAGAGACAAGCAAGAAAAGATGCATCTAAACTTCCAGATGGTGGTATGATTCTTTCAATACGTCATATTGTTTTCAGATTTATATATTCTCAACTGAAATCTAACAATATAAAATCACTTCACTCACAGCTTATCTTGATCATGGTGACCCAACATATACATGTTATTATTGTGGTGCAATAATGTGGTACGACGAGCGTATCAACAAGAGAAGAAATCAAAAGAATCCTACATTTACTCTCTGCTGTGGTCAAGGTACTGTAAAAATACCATTCTTAGAAGAATCGCCGGATCTTATCAAACGCTTGCTCTCTGGTAATGATAAACTTTGCAAAAACTACCAGCAACACCAAAGAATTTATAATATGGTTTTTGCCATGACATCACTTGGTGGAAAAGTGGACAGATCAGTCAGAAAAGGAAAAGGACCTAATATGTTTCGTTTGCAAGGAGGAAATTATCATAGAATTGGAAGTTTGAAACCTGACGATGGAGATTATGCAAAGTATTCACAACTATATATTGTGGATACTGAAACTGAAGTTGACAACAGAGCAAATGTTATAAGGTAATTTCTTGAAACCTATACTTTACGAGTATTGGCATTACTAACAGCTTAATGGCCTTATATTTTTGATTCACCCAAATGTAGCAAAGGCAAAAACACAAACCAAATAGGGGAAACAAGTAAACTGAAGAAGGAAATTATACAAGGAATAATGGAAATGCTCAATGATGTCAACCCTTATGTTCAGAACTTCAGGTCTGCCAAAGAAAGGTTTGAAAAAAATACTGATGAACCCTTTCACATGAGGATAGTTGCAGATCGTGTTGGAGTTGATGGCAGAACTTATAACATGCCTAAAGCAGCCGAGGTTGCAGCACTAATACCGGGTGATTTCAGGAAAGAGATGCCTTCAAGAGATATAGTCATTCAAGAGAAAAGTACTGGTCACCTGCAGAGGATAAGTGAAATACATATTTCCTATTTAGCTCTACAGTACCCGCTGATTTTTTGCTATGGTGAAGATGGTTTTAGGCCTGGTATCGAAAAGACATTCACAGGGATAAACAATAAAGAGAAGAAAAAATGCATCAGTATGAGACAATGGTTTGCTTTTCGTATACAAGAGAGGGAAAAGGAGAGTCAGACACTACTACGTTCTAAAAGACTATTTCAACAATTTCTCTGCGATGCCTATACAACTATTGAGACAAATAGGTTGTCTTATATCAAGTATAATCAGTCAAAGATTAGGCGTGAAAATTATAAAACCATCAAAGAAGCAGCTGCAACTGGAAACACAAACATGAGTGAACAAGGTAATCAAATTCTGATACCCTCATCGTTCACTGGAGGACCACGGTATATGGTGCAAAGCTATTATGATGCTATGGCCATATGTAAACATTACGGGTTCCCGGATTTATTTATCACATTCACCTGCAACCCAAAGTGGCCAGAAATAGTCCGTTATGTGAAGAAAAGAGGATTGACAGCAGATGATAGGCCAGACATTGTTTCTAGGATTTTCAAAATCAAGTTGGACTCACTAATGAAAGATTTAACTGAGAGAAAACTCCTAGGGAAAACAGTTGCAGGTAATCATATATTTTTACAGTACATATTTACACTGTCTAAAAGGTTTATTTCTCGAACCGTGTTATAGAAACTATACTCATGCAACTTCATGTTTAAACTTGCAGCAATGTATACTGTAGAATTCCAAAAAAGAGGACTGCCTCATGCTCATATTCTTTTATGGATGGATGCAAAAAGTAAGCTACCCACTGCTGATGACATTGACAAGATAATTTCAGCCGAGATTCCAGACAAAAATACAGACCCGGAACTCTACGAGGTGATAAAAGATTCTATGATTCACGGTCCCTGTGGTCCAGCAAATAAAAAATCCCCATGTATGGTTGATGGCAAGTGTTCAAAACTGTTCCCCAAAAAATACGAAGAAATCACTAAAGTCGGTAGTGATGGTTATCCTATTTATAGAAGGCGGCAGCAAGAACATTACGTTGAGAAGAGTGGAATCAAGTGTGACAATAGGTATGTAGTTCCATACAACGCTAAGCTATCTCTTCGATATAGAGCTCATATAAATGTTGAATGGTGCAATCAAAGCGGCTCAATCAAATACCTATTCAAATACATCAATAAGGGTCCAGACCGCGTCGCAGTCATTGTTGAACCAGTTAATGCAGAACCAGTTAATGCAACTGAAGCCGGAAAGACAACATCTTCTGGACCAAGTACTACGAACCAGAAAAAGGTTAACGAAATCAAAGATTATTTTGATTGTAGGTGGGTACATATTTTAATTATATATAACTCACACATATCACACTATTATACGTATGAGCAGATACGTATTGCTGAATTTATAAGTCGGTAATATTATTGCTCTAATAGTTATTGCTGATTTTTAAAATCGTTAATATTTTTTAGGTACGTTTCGGCATCGGAGGCAATATGGAGGATCTTTAAGTTCCCAATCCAGTATAGATCAACTCCTGTTCAGAAATTGTCTTTTCATGATGAAGGAAAGCAACCAGCCTATTATGATGAAAACGACGATATCGAAGACGTTTTGGAACGAGTGGAGAATCAGGATTCACAATTCATGGCTTGGATGACTTTGTGTAGGCAAAATGCAATAGGAAAACATGGAAAACGTGCTAGAGACCTGACATATGTTGAAATACCAGGATATTTCATTTGGGATGGAAAAAATAAGCAATTCAAGAAGAGGAGTCGTGGCTTTTCGTTAGGTCGAATTCACTATGTTCCTAGGAAATTAGAAGATGAGTATTTTCTTCGAGTGTTACTAAATATTGTCAAGGGTCCAACCTGTTATGACGACATCAAAAAATACAAAGGAGTTGTCTACAAATCATACAAAGAAGCATGTATGGCGCGTGGGATACTGGATGATGATCAGTTTTGGATTGAAAGTTTGAGAGACGCAAGTTTTTGGTGTTTTGGAGACTATCTACGAAACTTCTTTGCAATGCTACTCCTATCTGATTCACTTTCAAGACCTGAGCATGTGTGGGAGGAGACATGGAAACTGCTATCAGAAGATATTGAAAACAAAAAGAGAGACGTCTTCAATAACCCAGGTTAGGAATTTACACATATTTCAGTTCATGTTTATTAATAGCATATATAAATATTTTATATAACTAAATCGTTTTTTTTTTCAGAATTAAATTTAACAGAGGCACAAATCAAGAATTTTACACTGCAAGAGATAGAAAATATTATGCTCTCTAATGGTGGATCTCTAAAAAATTTTGGAGACTTTCCTCAACCAACTGTAGAAGGACTTGATGCGTCGAATCGTTTAATAGCTGAAGAAATGAGGTTTAACACTCCGACTTTAAAAGAAAAGCATGATGAATGGATTGGAATGATGACATCTGAGCAGAGAGATGTGTATGACAAGATCACAGGTGCGGTTTTCAAAGATATGGGCGGCATGTTTTTTGTTTATGGATTTGGAGGTACTGGAAAAACGTTTATGTGGAAAACATTATCAGCTGCAATTAGGTCTAGAGGAAAAATAGTACTTAATGTTGCATCAAGTGGGATTGCTTCTTTGTTGTTAGAAGGTGGACGGACTGCTCATTCTAGGTTTGCTATACCTCTGATAGTGGACGACTATTCGCTGTGCAGGATAAAACCTAATTCTGATCTTGCTAACTTGATTAAAGAAGCATCTCTTATTATCTGGGACGAAGCACCAATGATGAGCAAGTACTGTTTTGAGTCATTAGACAGAAGCTTCTCTGACATAATGGGTAACGTCAAGAACAAGGTTTTTGCAGGTAAAGTGGTTGTTTTCGGTGGTGATTTCAGACAAATACTTCCAGTAATAAATGGTGCAGGTCGAGCTGAAATAGTCTTATCATCTCTAAATGCTTCTTACCTCTGGGATCACTGTACAGTTCTTAAGTTGACTAAGAATATGCGCTTGCTACAAAAAAACATCAGTGTTGAAGAAGCAAAGGAGATACAGCAATTTTCAGATTGGTTGTTGGCTGTGGGTGATGGTAGAATTTCAGAACCTAATGACGGTGAAGCTATCATTGATATACCAGAGGAGTTTTTGATTAGAGAAGCAGATAATCCTATTGAAGCTATTACAAGAGAAATATATGGTGATTCAGCATTTTTAAAAGAAAACAGTTCAGCTGCATTTGTCCAGAAAAGAGCAATCTTGGCACCAACCAATGATGACGTCAACATAATAAATCAGTTTATGCTAGAGAATTTGGACAGTATGTTTTTCAAACCTTATATTTATTACATTACGACACTATTTTTAGTTATTATGTTTCAGTTAGGTGCTTTTTACAACTTCACACTAACCCTTCACTTCTTACAGGTGAAGAAAGGATTTACCTAAGTGCTGACAGTATTGACCCGTCAGATGTTGACTCGCTCAAAAATCCAGTCATTACTCAAGATTTTCTAAACAGTATCAAGCTATCAGGTTTGCCACACCACAATTTACGTTTGAAAATTGGGGCTCCCGTTATGTTGCTTAGAAATATTGATCCTAAGGGTGGCTTATGCAACGGTACTAGACTTCAGATTACACAGATGGCTAATCATGTTGTAGAAGCAAAAGTAATAACTGGAGATCGAGTAGGTGATATAGTCTTGATTCCCCAGATAGTTCTGACACCGACCGACACCAAACTCCCTTTCAAAATGCGTAGAAGACAATTCCCGCTATCAGTTGCATTTGCTATGACAATTAACAAAAGCCAAGGACAATCTCTAGAGCATGTAGGTTTGTATTTACCAAAACCAGTTTTCTCTCATGGTCAACTGTATGTTGCATTGTCTCGAGTTACTTCAAGAAAAGGTCTGAAAATATTGATTGTCAACAAAGAAGGAAAGATAGGAACGCAAACAACTAACGTCGTTTTCAAAGAGGTTTTCCAGAATTTGTAGTAATACAAAAAGGTACGTATGGGCTAATCTGCAACAGAGTTCAGACAACTAATAATCCTGCTAAATGTTTTCATGCTATACTAATTAATTACTTCAAACACATATAGGTGGCGATATCACTTTATGATGGCCCGGAGAAGAAATTTACAGCAGCTTTGCTTTTACTTTGTTGGTTTTTCCATCTGTTGTTTGCCAAACCAGACTTCACTATTTGTGTTCTAATAGAAACATAAATTTGAATCCCTTCGTTTACAGGATCCATTCTATATAACAGACATGCTTATTATTAAGATTTAATTAACTTATTCATGTTTGTTTCAGTTGATTTTTTTATTTTATTTAGCAATGTCGTTTATGTTTTATGCTATGGACTTGATATTGGTAATTCAACTAAATCTGAAACATTTTCATGATCATACTACATAAATGTAACGTGAAACTTAAAAATAGAAAACAAACTAAGAAAATACAATTACGATAATCATTATTGCAGTAACAATTCATCATAGTTGTTATTGTTTCATTTAATAACCAAACATCTGATTATGCCTAAAGCAACATCCACAGCAAATTAAATCAATCAAAGGTGTCCAAAAATAAAAGGAAAAACAAGTTCTCACAAACAAAATCACTTTTGAAACAAAAGAATTGATATAAAAAAAAGGTTACAGAACAAACCTTACACCGAAATGAATTTTGACTGTTATATATCTTCCTCACTACATTTCTGTAAACAAATTGGGGTACCAAAAAATTGTTACACGACTGGAAAGATAAAATTATGAGAGCTATGATTGCTGAATGTTACGAGTCTGTGATGAGTACAAAAATAAACCAACCTTATTACTGGGAACGGAAGGAAGATGAACAGATTCAATCAATTGAGGTTAAGAACAATATTCAAATCAAGTGCAAGCTTTTGAACAGTAATTCTAGGAAAAATCAAGTATAGCGAAGATTGGAAAATAGAATAAAATTAAAGGGAATAGTAAGAAAATATATTGAGGTTCAACAAAGGAAGAGTAAGAGTAGAGATGAGGTCAAAACTGAGTCACGACTATACCCAGATCTGTTTCTAAAAGATGATAAATAACCAAATGCAATACATAGTTTCCTGAACTTAACAATTGACAACTTAACTTTTTTTTTATCAAATAAACCCACAACAAAATTCTGTTTGGTATCTTTCAGTGATAAAGTTTTCTAATAATTTAGAGTAAATTCTACTATAAACTTCATTGTAAAATATGGATATATCTATATATTTAATTTAAACATTTACAAAATATACGAATATAATAATAAGATGAAAAGAGTGTTTATTGAAGTTGAATCTAATTAAGAACAAATACAATACATAAATTAAAAAATAAACTATTTTGAAATTTTGTCACACAGATTCATAGCTCCACAGTTATTCAAAGAATTCTTCTCCACCTCCCTTATCTTAAGAAACTTGAACAAAGTCTTTATTTCCAAACCAAGTTGCCCTCTTGGAGGTGGTGATGAGATAAGATGCAGTGGCCTAAGATAACTTCTTATGTCAATTAGGCTCCACCTTGAAGGCCTGTGAAAAAAGAAAAACCACAAATACATATATATATATATATATATATATAACATCAAACGTGTATAAATGTAATACTCTGCAACATATGAAAATAAATATACAAAAAATAGAAGAAAATTAATACAAGACGAACCCATTGGCATTGGGTTGATAAAACATTGTCCATTTTTTTGTTTTACAATTGTAAACAAACTTCTTAGGCATATCATCGTCAAAGTACACCATGGTAACTTCTTTGCTAACTTTGGAATCTTGAAAGGAAGTAGAACTATCCATTTAGAAAAAACCAAATCAGAACAAGTAAGTAATGATGTGCTAACGAGTATTGAAAAATGATAGGCAATGGAGTGGTCAAGAATAGGACATAGGAAATAAGCTATAAATTCCAAAACAAAAAATTAACAACTTAACAAAATAAATAAATGGACCCGTGGTTTACCACGGGGTAAAACCTAGTTGAACTAATAAAACAACAATTTGTAATATATTTTGTGTGTGGGCCGAATTGAGAAACCAAAAAGGAACACACAAATATAAAACTAAACCTCATCTCTCAGTTCACATCATTGCCCACTCACTTCCTCCAAACGTCAAAACACATCAGCCAAGCCATGGCTGCAGCCAACACCATCCTCGCATTCTCATCTCCTTCTCGTCTTCTCATTCCTTCTTCCTCCACTCCCTCTCCTTCTTCTTCTTCTTCGACTCTTCGTTCCTCTTTCCGTGGCGTCTCTCTCAACAACCTTCACCGTCGTCCCCAATCCGTTTCCTTCTCCGCCAGAGCTCCTTCGAAATCGTTGACAGTTGTTTCCGCCGCGAAGAAGGCTGTTGCTGTTCTTAAGGGTAACTCCGATGTCGAAGGAGTTGTTACTCTGACCCAAGATGACTCAGGTCCTCTTCTCTGATTCTCTATTGAGTCTCTCTCTCTCTCTCAATTGCTTAAAGTTTCGATTTTTCTCATCTGGGTTCTGGTTTGATTGATTTGGGCATGATTAGTGTTTAATCTTCTCAAAGTTTCATACTTTTTGTCACATCTGATTCTGCGCAGTTTGGTTCTCAGTCTCACTACTCTGTAAATGTGTATAAAGGGATTAGCTTTAGAATGTTTACATTGATAAAGGCAGCTCCTTTTTGTCACATTTGATTCTGCTCAGTTTGGTTCTCAGTCTCACTACTCTGTATATGTGTATAAAGGGATTAGCTTTAGAGTGTTTACATTGATAAAGGAAGCTCCTTTTTGCGTTTTCTTGAGGGCATTTAACTGTGAAACCTTTGCTGATGCAATGGCTCTGTGAAGTTTGCAAAAGTAATCTAATAGGTGTGATAAGATTGGTTTTGACTATGTATGTAGATTGACTAAATGAATGGTTGTTAATGGGAAACAGGTCCTACAACTGTGAATGTTCGTATCACTGGTCTCACTCCAGGGCCTCATGGATTTCACCTTGTAAGCGTGTTTCTCCTCAGATGAATCGATCATGTGTTTCTTCTTATAGCTATAGTGGTGTAATTGTGTCTTCTCTTTGATTTTAACAGCATGAGTTTGGTGATACAACAAATGGTTGCATCTCAACAGGTTTAATACCAATACTAATACCAATACCAATGGCAGTTTCATTTGATACCAATATCAAGATTTGTGTTTTAGATCGATATCGTGTCTTGTATTCTTGTAGGACCACATTTCAACCCTAACAACATGACACACGGAGCTCCTGAAGATGAGTGCCGTCATGCGGGTGACCTGGGAAACATAAATGCTAACGCCGATGGTATTACATCCTCAATTCACACTCCCATATATTTAGGCTGGCATTTTTAATGATTTAGAACTTGTTTGAACTAAGTACTGTATTTGTAACAACAGGCGTGGCAGAAACAACAATTGTGGACAATCAGGTTGGTGTTATCGCGTGTTTTTCATTTCAAGTATCTTATTCTCGTATAAGTAGCTTTGGTTAACTGTTAAATCATTTGTGTAGATTCCTCTGACTGGTCCTAACTCTGTTGTTGGAAGAGCCTTTGTGGTTCACGAGCTTAAGGATGACCTTGGAAAGGGTAAACGTTATACTTAATTTTCGATTCTCGTTACATCAATTTACACTTCTTGCACAATTCATGTGGGCTGTGAAAATTTCCCTGCTCTTTGGATTAAGTATCTTAATTTCATAGACTTGTTAAAAAGAAAAGGATGTCACTTTCTAAGTTTGTATAAATCTATAAAGCCAAGTTGTGATCTGATTGCATCTCTTTGTTGATATAACGAATATAGGTGGACATGAGCTTAGTCTGACCACAGGAAACGCAGGCGGAAGATTGGCATGCGGTATGGTTAAACAACCCTCGATATCTTTATACTGTGATTGTAGTTTCATTTGAAGAAACACACACTTTAGTATAACAGTTTAAACGCGAATTTGGTTTCTTTGTATCTTTATCCTCACGAGTTACATTGGTTCTTTTGCAGGAGTGATTGGCTTAACGCCGCTCTAAGTTCTGAGCTAAGTAAGTACTCTTATGTCTACTGTGTTTGGTCTTGTCTGTTGAATAAGAAGATGTCAGATCATAGCAAATAATGTATGGCTGAATAAACTTTTGATGGTTGATGTTCATTGCATCAATTTCTCTTTTCGGATTTGTGACAGTGATATGTTACTTTTGTTATAAATCTTCGTTTGACCGATTTTAGTATATTGTTTTAGTGGTTTGATTCATGCTTTTGATTTTTGTATTTTAGATAAAGTGGCTTTATAACATAGTTTTAAAGAAGCTTATGATAAGCATAATTATCTTAACAACTTGTTATTGTAACAAAACTGAAACTAAAACACGTGAAAAATGATTAAAACAAAGATAGGTGTAAACAAATTATGTTAAGCTATATAGATGTGACATGAGTGATGTAAATTGGTGGACATTGTGAGAGGAAAGTCTTTAAAAATGGTAAGAGTTGTTATTTAGAGCTTAGAACATGTGAGTTGTTAAGTGTTAACTACGAAAATTAAATGGTAAAGTTGTTAAAATAATTATTAAAATTCTAGTATTTAATCATTGCAATTATGTATATAGTATGTGATTTTAGAGTTTGTAGTCAAATGGTGAATTTCTAATTCGATGATGCAAATGTGATTTCTTTATATATCACGAGTTCACGACTCAAATATTATTATTTTTTTTGTTTTAAAGCATATTTTTGTGATTTTGGAGTAAAATATCAAAAATTCTATCACAAAGTTGTGATTCTACGTTTCGATTTGATATACTCAGAAAACATAATTCATAATTTTATTATAAAATAAGAGAAATATGTGAGTGTTTTATAAATACAAATGATCATATTACCTAAATATGGATTTTGAAGATTCATAATGGATTTGATTGTAGCATAGCTTTTGCCATTACAATATGTTTTGCCAAAAAGAAAACCAAAAACCAGATGAACTACAAATAAGTAGAAATTCGTATAAATTCTTTTGAGTTTTAATCAATCATAATTCTCAATCTCAACGATGGAACTGTTAAGTATAAACTCGAAATTTTACATAAATTTGTTATGAAAATAAAAAAAAACATGGAAAATTGTAGAATCATTGATATAATTTTGCTATCCCCCATATATAATGATTATAAAATTGTATCTAAAGTTTTATTTTTCATATACAAACACAATTAAAATAAGAGAAAATAATTTATAAAGATGTCGTAGTAAGAGGGCAGAGCAGGATCAGTTTACCCACTTGGTTGGTCCAATTTGTATTCGTCTTCCGAACTGTCTCTCTGTTACTTCAACTACCTTTATTAATAAATATTAATACCTTCATGTTTCATTTTATATAAGTTTGCTTTCTCAATTTTTTTCTACTCTCACAACTTGTAAATATATAACACCAAAATAATATATATTGCTTTTCTCCATTTTAGATAATTTCATTAATAAAATCTATGTCGACTTTTTTCAACTTGCTAATAAGTTGAAAGTCATTACCCAAATGGCATATAGTATCATGATCATCCTATGTTTTCTTTTTCTGACACAAATGATGTGACTTCTGAAAGTTTCCAAATTGGAACACTTCAAACTTACAATAGACGGATGAACCTAACCAGAGTCCAAGTCTTGGTTTAGCTTGTAATGTTCTGTGTATCACATAACCAAACCTCACTAACCCTTAATACAAAGTGGTTACAAAGAGGCTTAATGGTTAGGTTATAACCAAGAGAAAACTTTAAAGTAGGAGGGAGAAATATATAGTTCTAGCTAATTTTGACAGCTACATAACATGAGATATACACATGCAATATATACATATACAATGCACATTTCATACGTATATGCATACACACTCATATGTATTTTATACTAACACTCAAGACTCACCAAGTAGACGACGTAGAGCCATAATTTTTGCCTTGGATTTTAGTTGCATTACATTATCCTCTTTATCTCTCTTTTTAAGTTATATATATCTTTCTGTTATTTATATTAGGTGTCAAGTATATATATATATTAGGTTCTGATTATGATGTGTTTCTTATCTTTCAAGGACTATATAAATTGATTGATAGCAAAGTAACTATCTTACTATTCCAACTATATTAATCAAAAGAATAGTTTTTTTAAAAAAGTTCTCGAAAAGACTTAGACGATATGATCTAAATGCTTATCCTTGTGAGTAGTAGTAGATTAGATAATTAACTATTCAAAGATAAAACTCATCAAGAGATGAGCAACTTGAAGATAAAACTTAGCAAACTAAGTCTCGTCTTCACTATAGTACAAACTTTTAATAAAACTGAAGTGTTGAATCTTGTTTTTCTTTACTTTAGCTCAATACAATTTGTAGTTTAAAAGAATATGGGCATGAATAAAAAGTCGAAAGACATAAATGAAACAGCTAGTTAGGAAGTGTGTGGTGAAGTGGAGTGAGTAAGAAGTAAGAGAGTGAGGTGTAGTTGTAGTGTTGAAGTGTGGTGAGGTGTTGTGTTGTGTTGTGTCTATCCACTCCTTTATTTTGGACAGAAACTTCTTTTTTTTTTAATATAATGTCTTAAAGCCCCACCACCACTCTCTCTTCTCTACTAATTTGGTATGCCACCCATTTTCTCACCTTATATATATTAATTTTAAAAAATATACATATATTTAAAGAACTTTTCTTCTTCTTTTTCATGAGACATACATGAATGTATATGTTTTGTTGTGTGTACAATTTAAAAGTAGAAGTCAATACTAAAGGCACTAACCAAAGTGTAATTATGAAAGAATCAATAAATATATAGGAACTTAAAAACCACTAAGTTGTTGTGGATGGTTTTGAAAAAATTTGAAGAACTGATTTTTAACAATAGTTCAAAAATAAGGTAGTCTTTTCTAAAGTTCACCATATTTAGAAAAAATGAAATTAAATGAGTTTATGTACACCGGATCTTAATATATTCTTTTGATTAATAAAACCTAACACATCTTAACAAAAAGTGATGAGAAGCTTTATGCTTTCGACAAATCAAGCAATGGTAGTATTTTAGGTGACTTTATATATCTCTTTATCATCATTAGGTTAACTAATAAACGATTTTGAGAATGTAAAAGATAATATATTTTGTATATGGGAGTTGTAAGAGAAAACAAACAACCTGTGCAAGTGAAGTAAAGCAAGCTAAAGAGTGGGTTGGATCTGGTTTTGTAGAGAACAAGATCTTCTTCTGGTTAATCCTAACTTGGAAGCTATGTCACATGTAATGCCAGAGTACTCATACGTACCCACCAATTATAAATTAGATAAAAAAACAGTTTTAAAAAATAACAAAGCAAAGAAAAAAAAAAGGAGTTGGCATTTAGAATTAACGTTCAAATATGTATATAATTTTCATTTTAAATCTGAGAATTAAGCACTTATAAAATGCAATATGTTTTATTAAACAATGGTTGGAATGAGTTGTGTAATTGGTGGTACAACTAAAGATGCGGCGGCGGTGCATCTTAACCCTTACGTGCCTCACACTTCCTTCTCCTTTGTCTTCTTACGCTAAGTATTCTTTTTTTCTTCTTTCTTTCTCTCTTTGCTTACTTAACATTTTTTTGTTTCTTCTACATCGAACCTGATTATGTCATGCTAGAGAGTTTGTGTAGTATATTACAAATGTTAGAAATTGAAAAAAAAATATTAGACTTTCTTAAGCTGCATGCACCATAAACATATATCTATAGTTACTTAGTAATTTTGTATATATTCTATACAAATGTTTGTCTTAGTATGTATCACACTATCACTCATTGGTTATTTTCACATCCAATGTAAAAATATTTTACTTTGTGATGGGAACATAAAAGTATCTTCTCGCAGCAAGCAAGAATCAGGGCATCACAAATCAAATGTCTTTTAGGACTTTTCTCTATCTATGGTGGCTCCTAAATTATGTGGCTTCTTACAAAAAACAATTTTTTTCTTTTATGGTTAATATATAGTTTTACTACAACGACAAATATAATTCTAAATATTGTTCTTTTGATAAACTTAAAAAACAATACTTATTTTTCAGTGAAATTGGTATAGCATTCAAGCTTAGTTTAAGATCTTTGAACTCATGTGTCACTTGGTGTTGTCTTTGTTTTATTTTGTTCTTATACTTTATTTGCCAAAATTAACTACGTACTATACATGTTAATAAGTTTGTAGAGCTCTATATTAATTAATTATAAAATATTTTTAACATTTCACAGAAGAAAATAATTTAATTATTAACAAGAGTTAAAACAATAAACATGATAATAATTTATGTTTTAGGAAAATATGACGCGGTGAGTAAAAAATTAGTAGCTTTTAGCCACACACATCTGTTGGTGTCGTTGCTTTACGCAACATCATGCATCTCTTCTTCTACTGTTTATTAATTTTTTATATACGTTTTTTTTTTAATTCTTATTCATGATTAGCAACCAAATCATTTCAATAATTTCCTCATTATGCATTATTATCTAAACACATACATACAATTGTGTATCGTCGTGACTGTAAACTATATATATCATTAGTTTTGTTAGGACCACTAAATAAATATTGTTTTGTATATGAAATATCCATGTGTAAGTGTATCTATTAAAATTGTTCTGTGTAAAAGGATGTGAGGGCCACTTTTAAGTACAAGACAATAAGGTTTGGAATAGCTCAACGTGATTAAGAGTAACTTCTTCCAATCATTTCATCGTGTTATAGAATTATTGTGCCTAATCAAAACTTTTAATTAATAAAAAAATAACTAGGTCTTTTCTTTATATAATGTATAGCTTAATAGTAGTACTACTACTATTACTTACTACTAATTAATATATGAAGATTAAAAAAAACTTAATAGTTGCGGCTATAGAAAGAGTAAATATAATGCAAAGATCGTAATCATTTTAATTGGGTATAAGGTTGGTATATTCGAGTGGCAAGTGGTAAACACTTTAGTTGCATTGCATACACACACATCGATATAAAAACAAAGAAACATGAGGATGTATATTGTATAGTCTATAGTGGCGTAACAACATATTATTTATATAGAAGGCAGCGATCCCTATGTAAAGTCAAAATGTTGCATGAAATTAGCAAAATATTCCGGTGAAGGAAAGATCGAAGTGATGGGTTTTGTGTATGTTACATACTTGCATCCCACACATATATAACCTTTCCTTAGCCCAAAAATTATGTTAATGTATATATATATCCACTTGAGAATTGAGATATATATCATTTTTATTCTTTAGTCTAAATAAATATTTCTTACTTGCAAGAAAATATATATATCTCAAGGTCATGGTTGGAGAAAATGTTATGTAATATCTATACAAGTTTCATTTTGATATTTTCCCAAGTGGATTAAACTTTATTATTGTCCCCTTTTGAATAAATTGACTTTTTTTTAAAACTATAGTTCTTGAATTTTAAGTAGGGACAACTGTTTTCTACAAGTCAAAAATAATATTTGACTCTTAAAAAAATATTTATTGTGAAGAATTATAATACGAAATTATTAGGAAATGGTGCGAGTGGTATGTAAATCATAATAATATACATAAGTTGTTAAAAATATTTTGTGTGTTTATATTTTCTTTTATTTTGACATGGATTTTGTGGGGTTGTTTAGCCACTATGCCTTGTACCTTATGCATATATATGGGTTCAAGCATCAATTTCCCATTAAGAGACTTAGAAAGTATGTCGATAAAATAAAATGTATAATTTTTTTTGCCAGAATAAATTATTTTTGACCAAGCTAGTGTTGTCTAGTTAACTTAAATAATTATTTTGTGGTACCCAAAATTCATAATTTTCTTGTCTTTCAATAATTTCTTTTTTGTAGAATGCAAACTTATTAATAATAAACGAAAATGTTTCACAAACTTTGAAAAATAAGTTGTTAACTGTTTACAGGTGAATCGCAAATTAATATATCGTAAAAAAAAATTTTATCGTAAAGACAAAACCATCATTTATTGTGTAAAACCAAAAAAATAGTGCTGCGACACTACTTACTCTGTCTATCGATCGACTATATAGTATAATCTTTTCTAAACTTAATAATGCTGCGATATTACTAATTAATTCTGAAATGTGTACGTAGAGTATTTTTTTTTTATAAATATTCGGTAATCTTATCGAATAACAATCTAGAGTATTATATAGACTACTTATAAATTTATAATATAGACTACTTATTCTAAAATCTATAGATCATTATATTTTTATATGTACCATAAGCAATTCTTTGACATGCAAGGTTAGTAAGATGTTATATTTCTAAATTTAGTAATTAAGTAAGTTTATACAAAACATTTATATAAATTAAACATTTACACAAGAAAAGTAAGTTTTTATTTAATTTTAATGTATTGTAATAAAGTTGTTCATCTCAATAAGCCCATTATTTTACTGCAAACTGTTTCAAGTCTTAAGACAAGTAGATAACCAATTAATAACTAGCTTTTCAACTCTCTCTCTCTCTACATATATATAAACAAATGTTAATCAACTTAGTAATTATCATTATTAAAAAATTAAAGAGAGAAGACAAATAATAAAAAGTCGTGGTGTTGTCTCTTCACATTAACAAAGACTATGCTTACAATTGTTTTTAGCCTAACATGCCACCGATGAATGCACCTAATCCTATAAACACCGGCCACTGCATGTTGCCTCCTAATTATGAACCATATGTATATCTCTCTCTATCAATGCATATCATTATTATTATTTCCTTTCATTAATCTAAAACTTTTCTATAGTCGTCACGACCATTACTAAGAACAATAATGTAATATTATTATTTGCTGTCGTGAACATTTTTATCTTTAGTTCTTCTATTTCGGTTTACATCGTTCTGATGAATGACGTGGAAGCTAAAGTGCGTGAAAGTAAAAAATAAAAATAAACAAATCTTTTTTGCTTGTCCATATGAAAAAAAAAAACTAAAATGTTCACACTATCCAAAAGAAAAATACAAAATAACAAAAACGTGAATTGGTGGCCTAAGTGCCACTCAACACTAGTAATGAACCTTTGCCTAATTCAGTGGTTAACTCTTCACGGGTTTCACTTTCCCTTTTATTTCTCCTACTTTTGCTTCGGAATTATAAACACTAGACATGATGATAATGATAATAATAATTCTTATGTTTATAACAATTATTCAAAAATTATGAATGATTCAGTTCAAGATCTAATTAAGTTTTTGATTAATTATAAGACCAAAAATGATATTAATATGTTTGTTATGAGAAGTTTGTAATGTACTAGAAGAAGATATAATTTATAATACTAAGTATAAAAACGTCATGAAAGGGTTGACTTCTGGTACATAGATCTAGGTAGAGATCAGATTTCGAAGATATGGATTAAAAGTAGATACAACAGAACAGAAACTACAAACTAGAAAACGATATAGATTACTATTTTTTTATATTTTCCTTTCATGTTAGTAAATATATACAATTTTGAGTTTTTTTTTCATCATTTGATTTTATGGTTATGGAATTTGGCAGAGAAAACGCAGAAGTGTCAGGTAATGGGTATAGAGTGAACCGTCAAAATGTTATTGGTTAGCTATAAAACACAAAACATTATAATAATGTAAAGTGGATCGTATGTGTTATAAAAATCTTTTGTATGGAGTAAACTAAAAAAGATTAACAACCACCAAACTTATAACCTCTCTCTTTTTTTTTTTTTTTTTTTTGCCGATAAATATATATATAAGCAGCCCCACCATCGTCTTCTTCACTGCCTCTCTTCTCTCTTCTTCTCATCTCTTCTCTCTTGTTAGTTCACTCCACATAATAAAAACACCAAAAGTCTCATTCTTTTCATTATACTTTCGAGTTTTCTTGAATTTGGTTTGTTTCTTGATTGGTTTCTTGATTTTCTTGAATTGTTCTTTTTTTTTTTTTTTGTTACTATATTTGGATATGATGATGGGTCAAGATGAGGTTGGGAGTGATCAGACGCAAATCATAAAGGGGAAGCGTACGAAGAGGCAGAGATCGTCTTCGACGTTTGTGGTGACGGCGGCGACGACGACGACGACTGTTACATCTACTAGTTCATCGGTAGGTGGGAGCGGAGGAAGAGCTGTTTCCGACGAGTACAACTCGGCGGTTTCGTCTCCGGTGAGTACTGATTGTACTCAAGAAGAAGAAGACATGGCGATTTGTCTCATCATGTTGGCTCGTGGGACAGTTCTCCCATCGCCGGATCTCAAGAACTCGAGAAAACCTCATCAGAAGATCTCGTCGGATCAGAATTCTAGTTTCTACGTTTACGAGTGTAAAACATGTAACAGAACGTTCTCATCGTTCCAAGCACTCGGTGGACACAGAGCAAGCCACAAGAAGCCAAGAACCTCGACGTCGACTGACGAAAAGACTAGATCACCCCTGATGCAGCCGAAGTCTAGTTTGTCCGAAGAAGGGCAAAACAGTCTTTTCAAAGTTTCCGGCTCAGCCCTACCTTCACAGGCAAGTAACATCATCATCAACAAGGCAAACAAAGTACACGAGTGCTCAATCTGCGGCTCGGAATTCACTTCCGGGCAAGCCCTCGGCGGCCACATGAGACGGCACAGGACAGCCGTAACCGCGGCTAGCCCTGTTGCCGCTACTACTACCGTAGAAGTCATAAGCAGAAACAGTTCAGAAGAAGAAGAAGAAAATATTGAAATCAATCTAAGCCGTTCGATGGAGCAACAAAGAAAATATCTACCGTTGGATCTAAATCTACCAGCACCAGAAGATGATCTAAGAGAGTCAAAGTTTCAAGGGATAGTGTTCTCAGCCACACCAGCGTTAATAGATTGTCATTACTAGTTTTGCTTCATTTTTTCATTACATAATACAATGAAATATTTGTGAATTCTTACTTACTTACTATATTGTTGATCATTATTTTTCAAATCAAATATTATTTTTTTTACTTTCTTATAAAAGAAAGAGGAAAATGAAATGTGCAAGTTATATATATGATGATGAATATAAATATAAAATATAGTGGGAGTTAAGTAAAGGGTTGTGTGATAGTTAGATGATCTACTTGTTGAAGTAAGAATAGTTTGAGTAAGCAAGTGGTTATAGTGTTCTCTTCTTCTCTCATCTCAACTCTCTCATGGGGTTGCCTTTCATTCACGAAAAGCAAGTGACTTCCAAGGCATCTTTTCTTTCCCTCTTTTTAAGGTATATTTTGTTTTTTTTTTTTCTTTTTGTTTTTCTAATCTTTTTAACGAAATTGAGATATGAAGTAATTGAATTCGTTTTTTAAAAGAAAAAAAGAAACATGTGAGCAAAACTATTCGTGTATATTGCTTGTAGAAGCCTCTTTCTTTTGTTTTCCCACGATTACTTTGGTTATGCGTTTTGTAGCCAAACGCTTAGCTATTATCGTATTCGTGGTGTTGTTTATACGACTTTTCCTAACAAAATATGTCGTCATTGTATTAAAAATATATATACTAAAACTCACTTATATAGTAACCTACTTTGAGTAGTTCAATAGTTAAAATGATTAAGACTAAACGGTTTAAAATCTTTTTTACAAAGTTTGTCTGATTTTACGAAGTTTTGAAAATTTAATCTAGATTTCGGTACGAAAAATTATGGTTACATATTTTAGAAAGAGATGTTAGGCTTCTTTAAAAGTTTTATGATAAAACAAATTATGTGATTTAAAAAAAAAGTATATATACTAAAAACTCACTTATATAGTAGTTCAATGGTTTAAAAGATTCAGCTTAGAAGACTAAGGTTTTAAAAAAAAAATTACCACAATTTCAAGCATGAGTTGAGGAAGTTTATCATCTTTTACAAGTTTCGAATGTTAGTCTAGATATCGGTACGAAAGTTTATGGTTACATTATGTATCTATTTAAAAAAAAATTAAGTTACAAAAAAGTATGCAATTTATTATAGTTTAGACTTAGAATCTACCTTATTAGTATATATAAAAAAAGGAAAAACTCTAATTTATAAAATACCTAAATTTGTTTTTGTATTTTTGCTTTTCTTTATGAATTTAAAGCAGTAAGGACCAATGCTATCTTGCCCTCCTTCCAAATTCATAACAAACATTATGAAAATATGCTTATAGACCATATTTTCCAAAGGTTAATATTAATTAGAAGAAAAAAAACATTAACATGTAAATAAATGTGAATTGATAAAAAACAGAAAACAAAAGGCAGTGGACACACGAGATGGACGTGGTGATGACCAGCTTAGCTTAGGGTTTGGCAAGAGAATCACCACCACAACTAATAGACGTGGATTAGGTTCTTCTTTGGTTTTGAGTTGTTTTGTTATTTTTTCTGGTCACCACATTTACACTTTTGTTTTTTTAAAAAACAATAAATTGTAAATATAACAGAACATATATAAAAATAAAAGAAACAAAAAATGAAATAATTAAAGAAAGGGGAAAAAGATAAAACAGTGACAGCAGAAACACTCACAAGATTCACTCACCGCTTCACTCCCTCTTGCTTCCTAATGCCTTCTCTTATATAAAAAATTATTCTTGCAGTTGCATCCATTATTATTTTAATTTTGTATAAATATAAATTATTCTTGTCCTCTCACGATCTTAGTTTCTCAATCTTAACTTTATTTATCTAGGAATATATATTTTTATATATAAGTTGGAAAAAATATAGAGCTACAATGAATAAGGTAGATACTACTCTAGCTAGTTGTTGTGGTTGCTGATCACTCTCATGATTCTTTAAATCACTAATGTTCATGTGTATATTATGAAAAAACGATTTAGTAAACATATATCAACATAGTTATATGCAGTTCTTATCTTCTTTATTCGAATTCTCTTCTCTTTTCTCAAAACTGTTATAGTACACTTTAGCATGATTATGATGCAAACATAGATCACTGATCAGTCCTTTCAACCATATACCCTTTTTCGCAGCTAAAACTCATAAGTTATGTCAAATCTTGACATTTCTTTATAAAGAAATATCTACACAATTTTCTAATTCAATTAGGTAATATAACATATTTAGATAACTCCTAAACATGTCTACTCTAATCTCTTTATCACACCATCTCTCGGTTGACATGTAGTTTATGCTTTCTTCAAGCTCATATGAGATTTTTTTTCAAGTTCATACGTTTTTGTAAATCTCTGTAGAAGCTTTTGTTCCAGCTCAATCATTGTTTGAACTCCATCCCCTTTTGATCTCTCATTCAATCTTTGAACTTCTTACTTTTCACCTAATTAGTTTCTCAACAATTGTGTTTAGCCTCAATACTTTTAAACTAAACAAGATATACCCATTTAGATATTGGGCCTTGACTAACATAAAATGGCCCAAAAACCTTTTCGTTTTTTCATTCTTCTTCTTTCGACGACAAAGGCTTGACTCTTCTTCTCTCTTTGTTGCAGTCTCTTGTCACCTTCATCACTTCTCCACTCTTCTCTAGTTCTACAAAAATTTCTGTCTAGCTTTTTTAAATGTCTACAGGACACAATGACTAGTTCTCAACTAAACCTCTTTCCCATTCAAATACTCTGGACATGTTGAAACTTTCACCATGCAATAACAGTGGCGTTTCTGCTCCAAACATATCAGAGAATATCAGCAAAAGCTCGTGGCACGCATAGAGTTCAGAAATCTTTTTCGGATCTGTGGCTGAATCTGAATGATCCTTCCACGCCTGATGATATGACCTATGGAGTAGGATTCAGGTTAAGGTTTGGAGTAATAAACAATGCAAAGCTTTGTAATGATGAAACAACACAATATAAAAATTAATCGTTTACCATCTCCAGACCGGAGTAGCCTCAGGAGGACTACTAATTCTAGAACACAAAGATTTGATGAGCTCCAATCGTTTACCTTCTGACTCGGTACCTACGCAGAAAAAGAGAGTAAAGTTTCAATCTTTTTAGATTGTAGACTGTTGATTTGGCTGAAACATGCAGCTTCACGTCTAAACAAAACCTGTATAAAATTCTATAGTTCCAGCAGATATAATTCTAATGATCTCTCCAACCAACCTGAAAATTCTCAAGTAATCCTGGAAACCAGAGTAGAGTTGTTCAAGTCAGGGAAAGAAAAATATTGCATACCTGTAGCCTGGAGGCCGTTGCGAAGAACCATGAGAGAAAGTGCAAATACAACAGAGGGAAGAAGCACCCTGTAGTTCTTAGACAGAAGATGTTTTTGGAGATACACGATTACTTCCCCTATTATGTGCTCCGAATTTGTCATGCTGCCTTTGAGATTCCTTTTCTTGAAGTATTCTAACAATTTTGTTGGCAACGTTTCTGCCTTTGTTTCACTCAAGACTATCTGTTCCGAATCATTGGCTTCAGCGTAAAGCTTCCCAAGTATCACTGAAGCCAACAGCCACCGTAGAAACTTTGCTACATTAGTCTCTTCAGTGTGTGTTTTAGTATCTTGATGAGACTCACTAAGATTAGATCCCTTCTTAAGGTCACTCTTCATGGCTGTGGAGGATCCCCACAAAAGAAACCTTCTCAGCCTGTCCACGTCCTGAGAAGATATTGTATGATACAGAAAACTTATTAAACTGTTTCAATAGTCAAAGAAAGAGAGAGAATGAGGGGAAGAGAGATACCATACCATGCATATAATCTCAACTTGCGGAGTGCTCATTAATATAGTATCAAGCCTACGCTCTGCACTAGCTTCGAGTTGAGGAGAATCGCAATTAGCAGCAGCCTCAAAGAGTTGGAATATCCCCTCCATGGTAATGGTGAAATGTGGCTGGTACTTTTTTCGTTTCTGTGATATCTTTAGAGTAGCAGATAGTATCTGCAAAATCAAATCAACTGAAGTACTATTTTCTTGCATGGATACTAATCCACTACCTAAAAGTGTGTATAAACGAGATGAGATTTCCATTAGCCCGTCGAAGGCAGAACTTTGCGACCACTCTGTCTCATTTCTGGAGTGGAGTGCATCAGTTATGACCTGATACACAACGAAAGAAAATTCAATTAACAAATGCAATATTCAACACAAGGACTCTTGATGCGAATCAGACAAAGAAATATGGTTGATTATTGAGGAGTTGATTCAATTTTGCTTTCATCATCATTTGCAAAAATGTATCTATATTCTTAATCAGTGTGCATGTTTGACCATGACTAATACTGTACACACCTCCAAGACAAGTAAGAAGCGCGAGCCTTCATCGCTAGTTAGCTTTAAAGTAAACATCGAGATAAATGATGAGCACCATGACAACAGACCGCATTTTTCAACTAGATGTCTGGCCATCTTATGGAATTTGACAGACTTTCTCACTACCTGAAAAGTGAAAGAAAGATGGATTTTGTTGTGTTGGTTTACGAGCTCAAAGGTTAAGTACAGATACCCCCATTATGCAGAACGAGCAAAATATATTCTCAGAATTAAACTTATATTATAAATAATGAAGACACTACTGCATATAGGTGCAAGATAAACACTAAGTGGCACTAAGGAAAGAAAGTATCACCTGCAGGATTAGTCCTTTAGTTTCATCATCAGCATGAGGAGATGAGAAAAAACCCATCACTGTCTTAAGGATGGAGTTTCTAAAGTAAATTTGAGCATCGTCTTCTGATTCCAAGCCTACACACACTAGGCGAAGTACCCAAAGCCTCTGTGATCTAAAGCGAAAAGTGCTACTCCCGAAAAAATCATGAAACAAAGGTATTTCCTAGCAAAGAGGAAAATCAAAAACAGTTTAAATGCTGGGAAATAAAGGTTTAAAGACAAGAGTTTTACAGTTTTCAGAGAATAAGTACCCTCAGCTTCGGTGTAGATGAGCTATTCAAAAGTTTAATTATGGGAACATAATGTTCTTGAGAAGAATCTCGCAATATCAGAGATGCCTCAGCGGCAAAAACAGCATTAACAGTTGGGATTCTTTGCCATTGTTCCTTAACTCCGTTTTGCACATACATCAGTAGAAACCTAAGCACCGTTACATGCGTATTCTCCCTACAACTCTACATCAAAAAAGAGTTAGCTAAACAAAGAAATTCCCACATGAGACCAATTAGTTAAAGAAGCAAATTTGACCTATGAGACCAATTAGGCTTACAACCAATAACTCCAACAAAATAAATACTTTTGCTAGCATAAATTACTGAAAGTGCCATTTACTACTAAAGAAATGATAATATCTAAAGATTTTGAGGAGAACTTTAGTAGACAGTAAAAACAGACCAGGCATACAGGTAAGTTAAAACATAAAATAACTATTACCTCAAGGACATCCACAAATATCTCTAGAGTTTCATAGCCGAGTTTTCTCATCCCAAGATCTGCTGAAGACATGCTCGCAAACGCAACTGCAAGCAATCCTAACCTGGCGAACTCCACAGGTTCAATGTACCCCATGGACAGTGAGTAAACCGAGAATCGCAGGATGAAAACCGGATCATATCGTTCAATACCAGGTGAGAATTTCTACACAGGGAGGAGGGATTAGTTTGAAAATGCAAGTACAAGGAATTTTTAACTGAAAGTTAAAATAAAAGAGGCGGGTACCTCGCTTATTGGATCATCATACAGGTAACAATTATCTGATGCCTCTGCAGTTCGTTCATAAGGAAAATACAAAACAGTTTGAGCACATATTTTGGGATCAACACAAAGATTCTCTTTGAAAAGACTTGGCCGGAGATCTTCCACTAAATCAGTAGCACCACCATCGGATGCATCTGGAGAGAAACACAGTCCCTCTCTTATTTTCAAGGCAGCTTTACCCCACAAATAATCTTCAGAATCATTCAGCGTGTGCTCACCAACAATCAACTTGATATCCTGCATCAGCTTGTAGATCTCCAAGTCGATTTCGCTCAGGGTTGCACCATAAGAACACAAAAGAATAAAGTGCAGCTCTTTCAAATGGATTCCTGAATCTTTTCCACATTTTGAGAGCAATACTCTGAGAATTTTGAGAATTTCGAAGTGCTTCAAATAGTTAGGTGCTTCGAGACAACAATATCCAGTTCTGACAGAAACTGGATTTGGAATGATAAGATGTTCTAGAATGCTGGATACAGGCCTGAGTTCTTCACCAGTATGTGAGGATGACATGGATAGAGAACTGATAGTCTGTGTAAACTGAGAGTGAGATACTAAAAGCTGGAGATATGGTGCATACGAGTACTTTCCTCTAGACAATAAGGAGAAAATTTCCCTCAGTATCTTCAATGTCTTCGAGTCCTCAAATCTATACCGAAGAACTGAGTTCATCAGCCTCTCCAGGAAAGGAAGAGAAGCCAAGTGACAAAGCTCCTCACACATGCCTTCCAAAAACATTAAAATACTTCTCAAAATGAAGTTTTCAAGGCTTTTCCACAGGAACCAACATTTATCTTGTTTCCCTTTAAAAGAATCATCAGAACTCTTAACAACACATTCCCAACTATTTACTAAAGCATTTATTAATGGCTGTAATAAACTCTCTCTGTCGGATCCCACTTCTGGAGAACTTTCCTTAGGAAACAAACAGATCCTCGAAAGTTCTACTTTTGCAATGATACGGATAGCAACATTAAATTTTTGGTCTATTGACAGAACGTCCACTTCTTTTATGTGGGCATCCAACATCTCTTTACCAGCACTGTTGTGAGGAAACAGGGAACCGAATAACTTCAAGAGAAGGTCTGTTTTAGTTGAACTTTCAATCAAGGCAAAGTGATACTGAAACATACGTACTGCCTTCCCAAGAAGACTCGCATTGAACATAGTTTCGATATCCTCAGATGTTGACAGAAGAATGTCTTCATACTTCTCTTCAAAGATGCACCCCGATAAAAACTTTGGCCACTGAAGAAAACCTTTGATTAGTATATTTGAATAAACTGAAGTTATATCCAAACATCTACTACGCGGCTTCTCGAGTTTTGCAAAAACTGATGCTAGATATGATAGCACAGCAGGCAGAAGCATGATAAACTGAACATCTGTAAGCGCGGAAGAGTCATCCTGTTTCTTACTTAGATTACTAAGGAAAAAGTGTCCAAAGATTGACAGATGTAAGGGACTAGACTCTACAAGATAGAAAAGTATCTTGGCTTTGGTCATGCTTAGCTGGTTACAGCAATTGGTAATTAAGGCTATAGGAGTTCTCCCAACAATCTGTGACATTATCAGCGTCAACGGGTGAACATTGCAGTGTTGATTATGTTTCCCCATGAAAATGCCACCCACAACTTTCAGCAAACAAATATCTGCTGAAACCAAACCAAAAGAGGTAGAGAACCTGCATGCCATGCTATAGACTTCCTCAATGATTTTACTGTCATAATTTTTTTCGTCTAGTTCCCACAGCAAATCATATACAGCTCGCTCAGCAGCCGGCTGGAGTGAATACAATGTAAGCATGTCCAAAGCTCCACCAGCAATATCCATTCCCATACTGAGAATCATACTCGAATATGGGCTAGTCATTTCTTCCTCGTCAATTTTACTCATTGTGGAACGGACAAGAGATAAAAGTTTAAAAGGTGATATAAATCTCAACAACGCATGAATTAGTTTTGATGGTTGGAGAAGCGGGGCGTAACTTTGAGAGCCAACACAAAGCTCAAACTTGTCACTGAATAGTAAGAGAAGCCTTTCGACGAAGTCCTTAAAAGCCATAACTGACTTGTATTCCCTGAGGTCCCCTTTCTGCACAATGTGTCTCTCATTTAACAAAACGTTTTCACAAGTAGAAGCCAATAGATCAACGATGTGTTGATCTATTTCACTAATAACTAGCCTCCCCATTGTCAGTGACGTTTCTGAAAATATTTCAGGATTCTGCGCTCGAGGTAATGTTTCACAATCCAAGGGACTCTCCAACAGTGCCATCACAACTGGGTGGCAAAGAACTGTCTGAGGCACTTGATGCTTCCAGTTATCTGAAGAAGATGTAGAAACAAGATCCCGCTCTGATACTTGAGAGAACATGTGCTTAATGAGACGTAAGCAGATCTCAGATTGTTGACAGAGTACCGAAGTTGGTTGAACCTTGTACGATGATCGTATTTGGAAGAGCCAGAATAGTATTAACCGGATATCTGATTCAATACTGTCACTTTTAGGTTGAGAAACTTCTAGCAGCAGTAGCTCTGTTAATCTTGGAAACTCTGGTAAGGAAGATATATCCATGCTCATAATTTCGTTAAGTAAAATTGGAAAAGGAGTCTGCTCTAAGAACATGTAGAATGCAAAAGATTCAAAATCAATCATACTATCTACTGTTCCTTCACCGAGATTCCTTGATACAGCAAGTTCCAAACCTCGCACAAATAAGTCAGGTGATTGCTTTGAAAGGGTTCCAAGGAAGTTTTCCTCTAAAAAGAGTATGGACAGTAAAAATGAGAATGGTGTCCCGTAGAGATCCCAAGAAACAACCATCACAGAAGCAAAATCCTTCAAAACTGATTCAGGCGTTGCACATATCAATGCAGAAGAAAAGGCATTAACGACTCCTGCAACTTCATCCGGAGAAATACTTCTCATTAGTCGTTTTGTCTCATCAAGAGTCGCAGCAAAACAAGTGTCTGCAAGTCGATCAGTTGTCCTTCCGGAATGCAAGATAAACGGTTTATTATCTGACAAAGATTGTGTAAAATTCAGCAACACTCTCAATGGCCACCATTCACATAAAGAATCCTTAGATCCATCCACCACCGCAGACAAAACTGACTGAACCAAACATGAGAGTGGTCTGGAATCTACCTACAATATTCAATTTACAGAAAAGCTATTGGCATCATAAGCAATTTAAACGAGAATATAAACATATCGGATGGTAAGAATTATAAATACATATATGAAATATGCGGAAGTATGGACCTGAGTTTGCAAAAGATATTTCAATGTGCTGCAGACGTACAGAGATATTGCTGACTTCTCGGGTAAAGAATGTGCTTTAGATTCAGAACTTAGTAGCTTCACACAGTTCTGCAGAATACATTCAACTAGGGGGCTAAAACCAATTGATACACCTGCAACAAATACAGAAAAGATACACCAGTCAATATATTCCTATAGGCTAAAAACAAAGACCATACATCTTTGTGACGACAATAAAACTGCAACTCATAATCTAAAACAAAAACGGAAAATAATGTATAACTAAACAAACATATATAGGAGCGCACTGTATTATACGTCTCAGAGGATAAACAGAAGCAAAAAGAGTACACAGGTGCAATCTATACCAACCAATTGATTTGAGGGCACAAAATACCAATACCATTTGAATGGGAGAAGGAGCTTCTGACAATGTTCCATTGCGTGACTAAATGATTTCCAACAGTTGTAACAGCATCACATAAAAAGGAGATGACAACTGATGATATGCTCTGAACTTTAAGAGGTTGTTTAATCTTTCCAACACTTGGTAGAAACCGGAACCATGCCTCAATTTCACTTGCATTTACGTCAAATGCACCGGTGCGGCTCATAGATACTCGTGCTAAATTATATGATAGAACTTTCACCTCGTCGTGCTCTGAAAAAAGAAACAATTTTATAAATAAATCCAAATGCTTGCACATAAGTGGTGGCATTTTTCTAGGAACTCTCTCAGATTGAGACTTTGGCCTCCAACTGATGTACTCATTCAGTAAAGACAACAGAGCTCTCTGCAATTCAGCTGGCAAACTTGAAGAACTGCTCAGATATTTCATGAAGACACTAAACAACCCATCAGGCACATTAGGCATAGAACGCTGCAAAGATGAATAACATGTAGTCGTCAAGAACAGATGAGTAATGTCCAAGCCTACTACAATTGCCTAGACATAAACAATAATATAATAAACGAAATCAAATTGACAAAAGAAACAAACAATTTGGACCAAAACTGGGCAAGCAAAGCAAAACCATTTGCTCGAAAATCAAACTACAGTGCAAAACAATAAGAAACCCTGGTATTATTAAATATCAATGGAGTAAAAAACTGTAATGTGTTTTTATATATCAACAACAATACAAGAAAAGTAATAATGTGAAAGATCAACGTACCACATAAATCCCGAGGGCATCCAGGAGCTTTATGTGAAAGAACATCTTTGCTTCATCCGGAGAAAAAAACTCTGAAGCCCAAATTTCTGAAACAATCCCAAGATATTCGTTCTCAGCATCTGCCTGATCTTTCATCTGAGCATCCCCAGTATCCTCTTCTAAAAGGATACTTTTATCAGAACCTATCCCACCAATGACAATATCACCAGCCTCTTCTTCCAAAACATCCTTCTCAGATCTCTTAAAGCGCTTTTTTCTATCTACTAATCCACTATCCAACACAAATTTTCTCTTCAAAGGCAGTTTTTGAGAAAGGCTAGAATGGCCCATAGACTCCTGTAGTACGGTCAATAACACCTGGAAATCTGGAAAAAAGCTTATCACTTCACTTATGACATCATGCTCAAGAGAAGCCTGAATTTGGTCAACAGAGCAGCTATGAGAGGAGTAAAGTTTCAAAGCGGTAATGAAAGAATCCCAGAGCCTCAATGTCTCCCAGAGAAATCTCAAAGTCCCATGTTTCACAAGTAAATTAGTATGGAGCATCCCTCTAGTGATCAACGACCGGCTAACTGGTCGGGGGCATATGCATTTCATGATAGTATGGACCTCTGAAAAACCAGAAGGTGTAGCAAGTTGAACTGGGTTGAGAAAGTCAAAAGAACATGAATTTCTTACTGACGATACCAAATCTGCTGCCAGGGAAATAGAAGAAACCCTACAATGACTTCAGTTACTATGCAGAAAGAATGAAAAATAAAAACAAAGACAGATAAAATCTGGTACTCTGAAGAAGACTAACCAGGAAGGTGATGCAAAATTTTCCACATTGTATGGAAATCCTTCCAAGAAAGCAGAAGCTAAAGACGGTCTAACCCTAACAATGGCTAAAAGCAAATCCCTGTGATAACCAATTTCTGAAGCTTTCAAGCTCTTCATGAGCATTAGAAGTCGTTCTACATTTCCTTTTCTCTCTGCATCTGGCATCAATCCATTAGAGGGGTCTGTACAAACTTTAACAAGAACATCATAAGCCAACTCATTCACGATCCCACCATCCTCTCTTTCTGAAATGATAACTAGCTGGTTTAGTGTACTATGTCCAAAGAGAGCACTCATTAGCGCAGGACTAATCGATGAATCTTCAACAAGGATCTTGTCCTTCAAGATAGACAAGACAGAAGCCACAGTGTCTTCATCATCATCCGCAAGGCTTTGTAGGAGCTTAGAATACATTTCCTTCTGCTCTAAGATAGACTTTAACAATGTAGGCTTCCCAACTTGAAGGAATGATATAGCAAATTCAACAAACTCCCGCCTTGGTTTTTTCTTTGCATGTTTAGCGAAACCCTGAAAATCAAATTTCCTAGCCATTTGTGATGCCATGCGTGGACCACGTCTAACGATAGAGGCCAACAGTGAGAGTGCTCCACACTGTTGTTTTCGCTCTTTGCTGTTCGATAATGCTTTGTATACATCATCCAGTTTTTCTTCAATAAGTAAACAGCCAAACTGGTCAACAGCTCTTCCAATATCAGTTGATCTACATCTTCCCTCCGGGTGACTCAAAATTGTCTGGATAAGCGAGAATATATAGGAAATCCCTTGATTTCCATGTCGAAGCTTCCATGCCTCCAGAAGCTCAGCAAAGTTGGGTGAGCTCTGGAAATAAAGACGCAACAAATCGCCACCAGTTTCTCCCTTTAGTAACTTAACAAATTCTTTTGCAGCATCAGAGCAAAGCTTAATCTCAGGTAAGCAAATATTATGCAACAATTCCCTAAGTTTAGCTTCAGGGGATGGTCTGAAAACCATCACAGGGTGCTCCGGGAAAAACTCATTATCTCCATCAGAATTCAGAAACACAGCAGAACGTTACTTTAACCTCCTCACTTACTGGTATCTACGTGAGTCTTTCCTCACATAAACAAGATATATAATTGCAATGCAAAATACCTTCCTCAACGCCGATACTGGATTCAAAATACTCTTGCTGCTCCAAGTCTTTCTTTGCTCGCTCTGCCTCGGCCAGTGTTTTCAACGTGTCTGAGTTATGATGCTCTGCAAGAGCTTCCTGGTAAGTCTCAACCACAGGTCCATCGTCATTTGAGCATCTAGCAAGCTTCCTCAGAGCAGTTCCTTTCCTAGTCGAAGCTTTAGCTACCATCCTGCAATTAGACCTCAAGATTTTGTCCACCTCAAGATCTCTATTCCCTCCATCCATTATCATTCCTGAAACTAATAGGACAAAATTATTCAATGCAGCCCACATTGTCACGTTGAGAATCAAAGCTAACCAAAAGACTAAATAAATCTTTAAGCTAAGGAATAATCAAGTTCATTCATCAGCTAGAAAGTAACAAAATTGACATAGATATTCCACCAATTAACCAAGGTTTTTTTTTGTTTTTTTTTGGGTAGGAAAGTCAAACAGAAAGTTTCTAAACCAGTCTGCACAGTTCAAAATCTTATCTCGTACCTTGATCTTCAACGTCTGATGTTGATTCCGCTATTAAAGGAATACTACGAGAGCTTCCTCTTCTCTCCTCTCCTCACAGGGGTTTAGGACAAGAAGTCAGCTACTTTGTGTGTGTCGGGGCTAAAAAAGTAGGTCATATGATATGAACAAGAACCATTAGCAAAGAAAATTTCAAAGGCATAAACTTTACAACAACAACCACAACTACATTATCAATTAAAGCTGCAAAAGAAATCATTAAAAAACTGAGGTCTAAGCTGCAGATGATGGTCTAAGAGCAAAAAGCATCAAACACTCACGGACCAGTGTCACAAAACCAACACAAACCATTGCAAAATCAACAAAGAACCAGAATTTTATTTTGTTGTCATAGAAAAAGCAGGTGAAAAGAACTCAAAGTTGAAGCTCAGGTTTCGTTTCCTACTTGTGTGTAATCTAGAGTCTAGAGTCTAGCCGAAAGGTTCTCACTTTACCAAAGAATCAAACTTTATCAAAGACTCTTTTCATTCTAATCCCACCCTTGATCAAAAAAACCAAAGTTGAGTATAACAAAAAAAAAATACAATGACCCAATTGGCTCGTAACAAAGTTTTGGTTTGCAGAACTTGTAGTTGGCAAAACATGTTAAATAACACCCCAAATAAACTAAGAGTTCGGACAAAGATGATTCAATCTTTACCTGTCAGAGTTTATTTGGAATCGAGTGTTTGATTTTGTTAGCGGAGGTCGAAGAATCGAGTGGCGCTTTGGCGGAGGTTAAATACAAAAGAAGAATCGTCATATGAAACGATGTCGTTTCTACTATATGCCGAAATCGAGTGTTTGATGTCGGAATCGAGTGTCGTGTTTTTGTTGACGAGCGGCGGAGGTCGAATACAAAAGAATGAATTGTGATGTGAAACGGTGTCGTTTAATTGATATTATTGAAAACCTTTTTTTCTTTTTTTTGGACAAAACTATTAAAAACCTTTATTTTCTTTTATTTTAAATGAAAACCAGAATTATTTCGGTAGTATTCCTTTAATAAAACTTAAATAAAAAATATACATATAGCTATAAAAGCGAAAAAATAATAATGAGAATTAGTGAGATGTTCATACTTATATTAAATTTTTGTTACCCATTTTATTATTTTTCCTAATATGTAAAATGAAAAATTTTAATCAAAATAAAAAATATATGGAAAGCGGTTCCGAGATTATTCCATATCTTTACAAGTTCGAATTACCTTTAAAATTGGAAAAATATTTTAATATTACTATAATTAATGCAAAATTATAAAGATCCATGTATACTTAGAAATTATATTTTTATGAATGCAACTTTTTACGAGTTGGTCTGTCAAAATATACAATGTGAATGTTTATTTTTCTATGAATGCAATTTCTTACAGGTTAGTCTAATAGACTATTTAAGGTGAGTGTGTATTTTTTATAAAAAAAACAAATTATTTTACAAATGTAGTCTTTTATGGGTTGACGTCGAAACACACATTATGAGTGTGTAATTTGATAAAAATATGAAGGAGATATGTATTATTTGGGATTCAATATGAAAAAAAAAACTCATTAGCAAATATCTAACTCATTATGTGCCTATTTTGTTATCAATTGTCAAATCTGATTTCCACGATCTGCATAATCCCTAAGTAACAAAAGATCTGCATAATCCCCAAGTAACAAATAATTTGCAGCCAATGGGTTGCAACTGTACTCAAACAAAGTCACCATGGTTCCAAAATATCCAAGAATTGAAAATTGTCAAATTTGTGTCTATTAAAATTTTATTCTACTCTAATACAAATTCTATTATATTCTTTTAAAAATAATAAAAATATAATTATTAGAATTGAAAAGATAGTACAATAAATGAAAATCTGTAATTTATCTCTTTATTCCATTCATATAGATTCTAGTAAATTCTTTAGTCTAATACCCCATCCTAAATATTTACTGAAATTGTGTTTCTAAAGTTATGATGCAACTGTAAACGAGTCTTCTATAATACATAACAATTAAAACTAAACTATTTCATAACAATTATAATTAATATTTACAAAAAATTAAATTATATTTTTATTGGTGTGATGATAACACAATACTCTTATGTTTATAAACAAAAGGTCTCATAACGTTAAAAATTCAATTTTGTAAACATAATTTTTTTTAAAGAAACTAGTAGTTGCGACTACAAAATGAAAGTTATATCGTTGATTGCTATTGCTGATGGCTATTGCTAGCAACTGCGAAACTAACGTGGTCCATGCATGTATAATCATATTCATTTTCTTAAAGTCATACAAAGTCACCTCATATTTTCTACAATATTAGACCAACTTATGTGTTCATATTAAATAGTTTTCTTTTATAGGTTTAGCTATGATAAGATAATTCGTAATTCATTTGCTTATCATAGATGAAAATTTGAACCACTCTTTTGACCTTTCTTACGAAAATTCTCTTATATAACTTCTTTCTTATTTTTGTCAAACATCTTCTATATATATTACTTCATGTTTCATGTGTCTATATAAATTGGTTTCACATTGTTTACATGCAAGTTTGATTTTCTTATTTTGGTTTTCCCATAGAGTAAAGTCGTTGAGAAATTGTATGCATGCATGCAAAAAAATCGGTTTTCTTGGTTTGGAGAATTAAACCGAGATCCAAGACACTACCTCTACGTTTTATTACCTCTCGATATCTTTCTGTTTCTTGTCTTACGAAATCGAGCATTCTCGAACACAAATACAAAAAGTCAATATTTAATATAACTATAACTCTTTATTTAATAATGTGATGTACATTTTGTAAGACTTTTTGCTTCGTGCATTTAAAGATTCTGATAACCAAACCAAGCGATATGAAACGTACACGTAGTGCTTCGTAAACTATATGTAGTGTATGTGTTCATTAATGTGCACTTACATAAACTAAATGTGAGTCATTTAATTTCAGATCCAGTAATATGTACTATATGTTAGTTTTAGGAATTTAAAAGTGAAATTTTAGTGTAAAAACGAGATCTCTTTTTGTGTTCTGTCCTATTTTTTTTTTTATCGAACCAAATTATACAGTCCGTGAAATGCTTTGCCATATTATGAACTTGGTCGACATACGTTCACACAAAAATTGTCTTTTGACAAACTGAATAAACAATGAATGTGAATAAATCTTTGCGAATCCAAGAAAAAAATCTATACGAAAGAGAGTTTGAGAACAAAATAACGTTGAAAAGGAAACGAAAACATGTTTTCAACAAGAGTCAAACATGTTGTCTCAATCAGCATTAAACCACCAAGAGGAAAAAAAATGTGACGATTAGGCTGACATATCTAGCTAGTCCTAATATGCTCTTATATAATCATACTACTATATATACTTCTATTTGAAACCAAGTTGTATTCAACAAAACAATTAAAACTCCAATCATCACCTCTCTCTCTCTCTCTCCCTCTCTCAAAACCAAAGATGGATAAGTTATCTATCCAATGCTTTTTTATCTTCTTAGTTCTCACCAGCTTCGTCACTACCGTCTCGTGTTTGAGTGCTACAACAGATTCAAGAGAAGTTGGTAAGCCGTCACACAAGTGACCGATCTTGGTTCTTTTTTTATGTTCATATATACTTACATTTTGTTACATTTTGAGAACTAATAGATCATGTATATGAATGTAGAGAATGAAAGGGAGTTCAGCTACGAGCAGAACAAAGAGAACGGGCCATCGAAATGGGGAAAGATAAAACCGGAATGGGCAATGTGCGGGAAAGGAGATTTGCAATCACCAATTGATCTTACTAACAAAAGAGTTACCATTGTTACTCATTTCCAAAAGCTTACTAAAGATTACAAACCTTGCAACGCCACTCTCATTAATAGAGGCCATGACATGATGGTATATTACTCAAATTCTAATTATATGTATACACATTCCTTATTTATAAGTTTCAAAATTCTATATATGTATACTCATAATTACTTATTTTTTTGTCGCAGCTGAGATTTGAAGGAGAAGGGCCAGGAAGTTTTATGGTAAATGGAACTGATGAATATAAACTTCTACAGCTTCATTGGCACTCTCCTTCAGAACATACTATAAATGGAAGAAGGTGTGCAACATCTAATTAACATCTCATAAATTTTACGTTAAACGACTAAATATGAAAAATAAAACTATAGTATAGATCAAATATATATGCTTAGTACACATGTACAACAGAGGAGGGGGGGGGGGGAACATACATGCATGTAAAATATTAAGTTTATGATTGCATTATAAGAAGAGTTGTTTTCCATTGTTAGTACTTAGTACATATCAAGACTTTAATTGAAGCTTTTTGCAATTAAAAAAATGGTTGATGCTATTTATCAAAAAAATGTTGTTATCCTTACTTATATATATAGTACACATCAAAACTTTAGTTGACACTTACAATTATTAATTTTGGATGATAAATAATTTTCTTATTGTATAAATATATTAAAATCCTTAGAAGGCAAGAGTTTTTTTTCTGAAAAAAATATGTAATCTTAGTGTTTGTAAACTAAAAGTTTTTTTTTTCATAAATGGCAGGTTTGCTCTTGAGCTTCACTTAGTTCATGAAAACATTAACGGAAGCTTGGCTGTAGTGACAGTGCTCTACAAAATTGGAAGGCCAGACTCTTTTCTTAGATCGGTATATAAAACTCAAGAATTTTTGATTAATTAAGCTTTTAATTAATTTTCGTATTAATTAATGCATAATTATTGTAACCAATCTTTATTTTTGTTTTTGGTTAGCTGGAAAAGAAACTGTCGGTGATCACAGATCAAAGTGAAGCAAAGAAAAATGTAGAAATGATTGACCCAAAGAGTATTAAGATTGGGAGCAGAAAGTATTATAGATATCTTGGATCACTCACCACTCCTCCTTGTACACAAAATGTCATTTGGACCATCGTTAGAAAGGTTTTACTCATCTTCTTGTTTCTTGGTTTTTTTACTTAAAAACATAACATTAACAAAATCATATACCAAGTGCAAATACTACGAATGATGCATTCATCTACGAGTTATTAATTTATAGAGGTTTTACTGTATCTCTTTTATTTTTTGTGACCAATTATATTATATCCTTTCATTTATATTTATTTGTGTAATTTTTAGGTACGGACTGTGACAAGAAACCAAGTGAGATTACTCCGAGTGGCTGTTCACGATGTAAATTTATTTAAATTATAAAATTATCAAATGTTACAATTATAGACTATTTTTTATGAAATTTGTATATAATTGATTTTTTTAATTTTTTTTTGCAGAATTATGATACCAATGCTAGACCGGTTCAACCTATAAATAAGCGTGTGGTAAAGTTATTCACACCAAAAATTCGATGAATCAACGTACCAAGCTCACAAGTCATATATAAGTTTACAATACAATTTATTTCATTTTTTCCCAATTCAAATTTGTAATGTTTATTTATTATGAAATTATTGATATTTATGTTTTCTGATTAAAAATTATTCACAATCAAATGTCCCATCATCCTCTTGTATTTTTCAAATTTCTTTTAAAATTAATATTCATAATTTGACCAAGTGCTAATATCTCAATTGGTAAAAATCTCTGGCAAAAGTTTATAAGTCACCGGTTCGAGTAGCGCTTCGGACGAGACTATATAACATGCTTTGGTATCGGGCATGAGGAGATTTATGGACTTCACCCAGAAAATTATTCCAAAATAATAATAAGAATATTCATATTTTGAAGTGTGAATTTGTGTAAGTGGTAAAAGACGAAGAAGATCCTATAAATGGGTCTTAAAGTTGTAATCATATATATATTAGGCTCCAACCATTCCACTCCTTTTCGTTAGTCTTAGTTAGGGTTTAGTTTGGTTCTGTCAAAGGATCTTCATTGAGATTTGCTTTTTTTTTTTCCAGTATAAGCATAGAACATGAATATGCTTTAACGAAATAATATGCGAATGAGTTATACGACATGTATCAGAAAAATAACAGTACAAGTATATGGTTGGAAGATTCAAGATTCACAATGTTAAGATAAACAAAAACGATGTGAAAAAGAGAAACATATGTGTACCAATGGGTTATAGTGAAGGGTTATAGCGTTCATTTATGTTCTGCTATGGTTAATTTTTGAGTAGCGAAAATTACAAAATGGTGATACTTAGAATGCATAGCATAAATAATTTTAAAAACACTGTCTAAAATAAAAGCGGCAAAACTAATTAATTAGTTTTATTTTGGCCTGCTTAAATACTTAGAGAACTACTCTCATGCATACTTACTCTCTCTCGTCTCAATATAAGTTTTTTCGATTGAATTGAAAAACTTCTCTATGCATTCTCACTCCTTCGCTATAACCCATTAGTACACATATGTTTCTCACTCCTTCACTCCAAGACTAACATTCAATTCAATCAAAAAAACTTCTTCAGCTTTGGAGGATTCCTTCAAAGATACTTAGTTTTCTTAGTAATTGGAGGATTCTAGTTTTTTTATATATTGGGTTTTAGTTGTTTTGTGTGTTTCCTTATTTGAATTATAATAAAACTAGTTGATTTTGTTCTACCTAATGTTTTTCTTTAATATGTACGTTGTTCATGTTGTCGTATTTGAATAACCTCGTAATGTTTTCTTATTATTATAGGACGTTCATATTTTCTCAAATTAAAATCATTTAATGAATAAGCTTGTAAAGGATTCTAACCATAAGATATTATTAAAACCAAATAAGCTTAATTTGGGAAATTTGGCAAAGATACAATTATTTAATCTCTTCAAGTTAATGTTCCGATGTTTATTATGTCATTTGTTTTTAGCACGTAATCAAAGTTTTCCAAGGCATAAACTAGAAATTTATTGTCTTGATCTTTTATTCTCTTTTACAGTCGTTCCGACAGCAAAAACAATGGGAACGAGTGGCAAAATCAGTTTACAAATGCAAACAAAGTACGTACATGCATCTATTAATATGTATAACCCAAGCAAGTTTCAAAACTGTGACGCCAATAACAAAAGTTTTGGATAATACCATTACATCACTTGGATCACGTACGGCATTATCTTGTTTGTTAATATTTAACACTTGGCCCAATGCAATTACCGTTTCTATCTTTTTTTTTTTTTTTTTTTTTTGCTATGGTACTCTCTTAAGCAGACTTGAATCTTGATGATTCCATGATGCATCAACTAGCTAGTGATGATGAGATGAATGTATCATGCACCAAGCTAATGTCTCCTCTCTAACTTATATGCTCATACAAAAAAAAAAAAACTTATATCCTCATGTATGTAAACGATTTATTTATTGTAAATTTTTTTTGGGAAAATAATTTATTTCATAATACAAATTTTTGTGGAGATTTCTGATTTGATATGGGAAATATTTGATATGCAATCTCATTTTCGGTCCATATCGTCTGTGATATCACTTCGGTGGACGTATCATTCATCAAGATTTTATGTGTGTGTGTGTGTTTTTTTTTTTTTTGTATGATATGTATTAGAGAAGTGTTAAAAAAATTAATTACTAAAAAAATAAAAAGTGAAGAGAGAGATAATAGTCTCTTATTAGGAATAATAGCCTAATACAAACAAATGATAAACTTTGTAATAATCTTAGTGGAAACTTCCCTTAGAAATATGTGTATAACCATAATCACAATACTAACATTTATACAACATTTCGAAATACACACAAGTAATAATACTCAAAAGAAGAGAGTGATGATTTGGTAATTTGGATTGAGAGTGTGTACAAGGAAGGCCAAGTTGGGTTTTGGTTACTTTCCTCGTAAGTCGAACAAAAAATATTCGTGTGTCGGTAGAAGGTAACGAGATGAAGCCACGTGTAAGATCGTGTAGCATATAAGAAGAAGTGTTTTGATCGATCTTTGTCGTCGTGAAAACCCAAAGGACCCACACCGCACCGACGACTGATCAATCTAAAAATAAGCTCTTAAGGCTGTTCTGTTCCAATTCCATTGTCCTATCTTCTCTGGACCCCTTTGGATTTTGCATGCATCTCCTAGTGAACCCCACCATGTTTTACCTCTTGTCATTTCTTACGTTATGTCAATTGCTCTCCTTACATATATACATATTCTTCTTCTTCTAACACTCGCATCTCTAAACTCTAATCTATGTTCTTGAGTTTATTACATCTAGTTTTTGTTTTGCTCACCATGCATGCAAAGCCTTCCATGTATCTGAAAAGTTTAGTTAGAGTGATAGTCCGATTGGGTAATTGATAACGGTATATATGACCCGTATGAGTAAACCCTCTAGTGAGTTAAAATAAAATAGTAAAAATAGTAACAAGGGTAAAAAGATTTGAGATAATTTATGATTATAAGGTTTTGTACCATTATTATAAAACATGTTAGAATCCATGGATTCAAAAAAATGATACAATATTTGCTTCACTTATTAAAAAGTAATTTAAAATAAGATCACTTAAATTTATGATACAATTTAAGTGATACAATATACTCATTTTTTTGTAGTGCCAGTATTTTGGACGTCTATAGTGATCAATCATTACTAATCATAATATAATTATATTCTACTCCATTAATCAAAGAAAACATATTAACAAGTCTTATAAAAGAACAAAGAGTGTATTTAATAATAAGTCTATTCTTCGCACAAGCTACTTCCCCACTTCAGAGAACACTGAGTGGCCCATTCTTTACATATCATAGAATGTGGAGAAATATACAATATAATTAATTATATTATCAAATTTTTAAAAATATAATCTTAAATAAATAATTAAAAATATTTGATGAAAATCTTAATTAAATTAATAATTAAAAGTTTGTTTGTTAAAATCATGTGAAACATTATATATCACATAAAATCTCTTATTTTCACATAAAATCTTCATATTAAAATAATCAATTTCGATATATATTTTACAAGGGCATAAATAAAGGAGACAAAAGATTTGATATATTCATGTAGATCCATCCACACCTAGAATTCAGGAGCTATACTAAACAACTTATCACCTCGTGAATTCAGGAGCTATACTAAACTTATCACCTCGTCCCCCCCCCTATATATATATTACAACTTTAGAAGAAGCCCTAATACAATAAAGTCTCAACAATGAAGTTTCACGGCCAAAGAAGAAAGAAGAAAGTCTCAACAACAACGAAGAAACAAAACAAAACACTACCTGAAGTGATCCACGAAACACCTGATCATGTGCAAGTCATAAAGTACCCTTGTTTAACGACGATGTTGTGGGAGAGTTTGGAGAAAAAGAAACTGAATGGTGTACGTGTATTCACTCGTGGGGTTTGGTACGCGTTGTTAACTTTCTCAGTCTTTGGCTCACTCATATCCGGAAGCCAAGTTTTCTATACCCCGATATCATTTGGCGTCACGGCCTTGTTCGCAGTGATGCTAGTCAAGTGTTTGTTCTTCGACGTGGGCTATCCTGATCCAACTACAATGCCGGTACTAAAGAACATTAGATTTGTAACATCGTTGATTATATTACCGGCCATGTTTTATATCCCTTTCTATTACCCTACCATGAATGTTCTTGTTTCGGTCTTTTCGTTGCTCGCTGGAGGAGTCTCGATCTATCAACTCACTTGCACGATTGACATTGGACATGGTCTCAATATTCTCCTTCTTGCCTTTATTAATGGACTCTTAGGTATAGACTTTGCTGGTCAAGGGCATGATCCAGCCGTTGGACTTTTTCCAAGTCTCTTCTTCCAATACATTGTCTACGTTTACAATTTCGAGTTCTTAGCTGATGTAGTTTAGTTTTCTTAGTAATTGGAGGATTCTAGTTTTTTTTTTTTATATTGGGTTTTAGTTGTTTTATGTTTTCCTTATTTGAATCATAATAAAACTAGTTGATTTTGTTCTACTTGTTCATGTCGTCGTTTTTGAGTAACCTCGTAATGTTTTCTAAAATTAATAAGTTGGATTAATTTTTTTTCATTACAATTTATGGAGGTATATTTTGATTTGATTGGAAAATATTTGATATGTAATCAAATCTCATTTTCCGTCCATATCGTGTATGGTATAATTTCGGTGGACGTATCATTTATCAAGATCTTTCGTGTTTTCTATATATATCGTTTGTATTGGTGTTAAAAATATATATATATATATCGTTTGTATTAGGGGATAATAATAGCCTTATACAAACAAATTATAAACTTTGTAATAATCTTAGTGGAAAATTCCCTTAGAAATATGTGTATAACCATAATCACAAATACTAACATCTATACAAAAATGCGAAATACAAAACCAATACTCAAAAGGAGAGAGTGATGATTTGGTAATTTGGATGAGAGTGTGTACAAGGAAGGCCAAGTTGGGTTTTGGTTTCTTTCCTCGTAAGTC